TGAGTTTTTCACAGTGTTTGGTTTTTGGCAAAGTACCCTGTGAGTTTCAGATTCACGGAGAGTGGCAAGGCTTGTCTATTGCTGTGTCCCCAGGAGGAGAGAACAGAGCCCAAGGCTTTGGGGGGTTGGTGGGAGAGCGGATGCTAATTATTTTTCTCTATTACGTCACACTCTAGATTAGGGCTGGCAAACTTTCTGTGAAAGGCCAGAGAGTAAATATTTATGATTTTGTGGCTTGTATGGTCTCTGTTATAACCACTCAACTCTGCAGTTGTAGCAGGAACAGCCACAGACAACAGTAAATCAATGGACATGGCTGTGTTCCAATAAAACTTTATTTATAACAGACAGCAGGGCCATGTTTGGCCCATAGGCTGTTGTTGGCTGATCCCTGCTCTAGGTAATAGTAACTTCAAATGGAATGCTGACTTTGACAATGCAAGAAAAAACAAACCTAAAAAATGCTTTTTATCTTCCATCACGATTTGCTATAAAAGTTACCATTCTCTGAGGGGCGCAAGTATAAATAAGGATCCTTACCAATGAAATAATAGTGTCACATTTGAGCCATAAAGAATAAAATTAGGTACTCTTGTATTTAGGTAACCAAATTATTCTCTAATTCCATGACTATGGGTGTGAGAAGGGTATGAAGAGGAAAGTCACTTAAAGCACTCACTTAACATTAATTTTTCATTTTCCACTGCTTGCCATCAACCAGGGAATGACTTACCTAAAATGATTATAAAAAATGGTTTCACTTCTTTGATCAGGAAGCTCAGAACTGTAACTATGAAGTTACTAATGGTTTCAGTATTATCACAAGTCATAATGGAAACGATTTGTACTATGGTAGAGGCGAAGAAGGGGGAAGAAAAGCTCAAGAGTTGTTCATTAACTTCACTGTCTCTCCACAAATGATAGGAGTATTAAAAACAAGATTGTTGAAGTGCAAATATCAGGACTTAATGAACAACGGGATGTAACTGAAGTAACAGAATGACTTAATCGGGACAGTGGGTTGTTTAATTATGGGGATAATGGATCTTCTGAAAGGACAAACTCAATGGGACACCAGAGGCCGGCGAGTGCTGGGAGAGCTGCCGTGAGCAAGGGAGCATGTAGCCGAGAAACTCTTGCTAGAGGTAGCTAGGGCTCTGCTATACGTGAAACATTTTATTGAGCGTGATTACCCCTCAGATGGTAACTACTAGGGGAAAAAAGAGACTGGTGTGGGGTGGCATCCACCTTTACTGAATCATAGTAGAGGCATTAAGACTTCTGCAGGCCCATGTATTTCTGCTTTTTCAAGAATTTCTAATAATCTTAAAGACTTTCTCACAGATATAAGAATGAGGGCAATAATATGTTTGTTGGAACACTGTTGCCCAGGCTGCCAAGATGCTATCTCTCAGATACAGCGATTGGCAGGCTCATTTCCTGGGTTTAAGAGTTCAAAAAACCATTTCTTGTTTAACTTTGATTACAAGTCAGCCTCCTCTTGCTAATTCAGCACACTTGCTACGAGTTATTGAGTTTTCTCATCTCTTCCTGAAAGTGAAGTAAATGTCCTTGCTCCCCTGTGGTGCACTTTGCTGGAACTGAAATCCTCAGGTCTTCGCTCGCTCCTCCGAAGTTGCGGATGACCCGCTCTGAAATCATTCTCTCGACACACAGCACGCTCAAGGCCTAAGCTTCTCTGGCAACAAAAGCAAACATACCTAAAATTTTTGCAGAGGAGGAAGAACTATAGAGCAATTGGGTTTATTCCTCTTCGAGCTGTCAAATCAGAATCCCTGGATAGTAGAGGAAGACTCGAGTCCTGGGGGGTACAAGCCTCCGGATGCCAGCGCTGGGGAGGCTGGGGATGTCGGGAAGGCCTGCCTCGCTGAACACCAGCATGCGGTGCCTTGTTACAGAAGGTTGGTCTCCGATGGTACCAGAGTAAGTGCGACCCTGGGGCCTATCTTAAATTTGAGGAAAGACAAAAGAGTTGTCCTCCCAGGATGCAGGGAATGAAGAATTACTTCCTGGGACCTGTTTGTTAGTGACAATTTCATGTATAAGAAATTCGCAGGGTGTCTTTGTGTTTTAGAAACCACCCCACACGTCAGGGAGAACACGTCCTAATCTTAGAGGTGTGAAACCTACTTTTTAGGTTGTGATATGAGGCGCTGTGTTTCTGAGTGCTTAGCCACACAGGAGTGTGGGAGCCTCTTTCTAACTGTGTCTCTGCCAGGGCACCATGCAGTCATGGCACGCTGTCACGGCGCTGCTCTTAATTTTTCTTTGACTTTTCTTCTTTGAAAGAATTTATACACACACTCTTACTCCCGTTTGTTCACCACGCCTTGGTTTCAGTGACTTAAACCACCTGAGGCAAATTTAGAAAAGTCAAACCTTCAAACCACGGGGTGTACATGCCAGAGCGGGGGGAATTCATGTGAGAAAGAGTGGGAGGAGGGAGAAGAGCGATGTGATGGTTCGGGCTGGGGGAACTTGCCTGAAAGGAAATGAAAAACTTTAATTTTTTTATATTGACCTTCTGCTAACGTTTTGTCACAAAGCAGAGGCCGGATCACGCACCTTCTCTGGAGTTTCTAGTGTAATCACCCACCGTGAGAGAGAGGCTGGGACAGATCCGATAAAAGGCATTAAAAGTCACTGTCAAAGACACGACCCTAGAAAGGAGTGGGCCACTCTTTTTCCAGTTTCAACTCTAGACAGCTGATGGCTAATCCATATTCGAAAAGGAAGATTTATGTGGATATCTAAAATCCTAATTTTCCATTAGTCTTTCTCCCAGAGGCAATAAAGGAGAAAAGAACCCAGGAGTCCACATGAATTTCTTCAACATCAGGAAACACTCTGGAGACGAGCTGAGTGTTAACACGTCAGAAACATATGGTCTTAATTGACTGTAAAACAATGTTTCAAAATGAAAGAGGGATAAAGTGTTCAGATGTAAAGCACTAAAAGGGACTCAAAACCTCCAAAGCTGTTCCAGGCATTTGACTTCTCCCCACTCCCAATCCCATTTTCTCCTTTCCTCTCCCTCCTGTTGAGGTTCATTTTTTCATGAAAGTAAATTACTGCTGGATTCACTTGCAAGTATTTCCCTTTGGGAACCCGTGGAGCTCCTAAAATGTTTCAAAGTAAAAGCACAAACATCTTCTGCTTTATGACCAAGGCCCTGGGTTTGAAGACAAACTCAGGATCAGTGAAAGCAGAGACAACAGGCCCAGATGCAAAGCTCATCTTTTGATCTCCAAGATACCAGTGGGGTTCTCCATCCCCAGAGACTCTGATTTGATCAGTCCCAAGGAAGGACCCAGGCATTAATCTATCTGGATCTGCATTTCTAACAAGCTCCCCAAGAGATCTGAATTAAATTTACAAAGCTTTAAATTGCACTCACGTGCAAGGCAATGTTCTTACTGCTTTATAGAATATAGACTCTTTTAATCCTCAAAGCCACCCATGAGACAGGCAGGCACCATAATCATCATCTCCATTTTACAGATGAGGAGACTGAGGCATAGAGAGGCTTTGAAACGTGCTCAGTGTCACACAGCTAGCCAGTGGCAGAGGCAGGATTCAAACCTGCCTGGCTTGGAAGTCCAGGACTTTAGCCGCTACTCTAATGGTTCTCCTTAGGTGGTCCTGCAGGGAGCTCTTCAGAAATGCAAACTCTCAGGCCACACCCCAGATCTACCTACTTAGGAACTCTGGGGTGCTGCCTTGCAGCTGGTGCTTTCTAAGCTCCCTAGGTGATTCTGATGCACGCTAAAGTCTAAGAACCACTGTGCCCAGTGCCTCTCCCGTGCAGCTGGTGTACAGACAGAAAATGAACTGCTGACTCTCTGCTCCGCTTCCCGCTCCTGGATGGCAGTTGCGCATGGTGCCACCTGCAGTGGAGGGTGAGCTGTATCTTCCAGCGACAGAGAACTCAATACAGCTCGTCTGTGGACTCTTCTCCCACCAGAGAACATAACCATGACACAGTCTACAGCAACGTGGTGCCTTGTCCAATTAGGGGATGAATTCTTCCAGAATGACACTGCAGCACTCGCCGTGCAGAGCAAAGCCACAGGAGACAGTTCCCTCACTGGGCAATTCCAAAACCTCATCGTAATTTTTTCCTCCTTCTCCACTAATGAGACTGTGAAGAAGCCCAGAAGCCCAGAATCTCCATAAAGCTAAAGATCAAACCAAAACACAGCAATCTCTTTCCCAAGTCTCTATTAACAGAAGAGCACAGAATATTCCTAGTCATTTTGAAACTTGCTATGCTTGGTTCTCTAAAATTCCTGTATGTGGAAGAAATTGGTCCCACTCCCTGTAGGAAGGGAAGAGGGTGGGTGGGGTGAGAATGGGTGAAAAAGAAGTTCTCAAATGGGTAAACCCCTCCAGCGGCCAGGCAGGCATCTTCCTGCAGGGATTTACAGCTTTCCTCTAAAAATAACTATGAGATCACAGAACATTAAGTGTGTGACACCAAACATTTGTAACCAACCCATGAAAATAGAGCAAGGGCGTCATGTTGCATGGGGAACACAGTGGAATTTGTCTTGTGTTATCGTTCTAAAATAAGTCGGTCTCCATTTGGTTGAAATATATCTTCACACATTGTCTTCCAGAGCAGAGCCATTTGAGAAATTCTGATTGCAATTACAAGTACTGAATAGGGAGTACTTTGCATTTCCTTTGACGACGCTGAAAGCTATAAGCAATCCTGATATTAAAACCTTTGGAAATTGATGAGTACCCTAGGCATCATTACAATACTTTCTCCCCCAATCCAAGTAATTAAAATCTATTATGCGAACACGTGTTAATATTTTATCAACTACTGTTTTTAACTGATGAACTGTGTGAGGCCTCCCACAAGTAGGAATGGTATCAGTTCGTTTTAAGTGATGCCCCAGCCCCCACCCCATCCTCTAACTCACAGCCAGACGTGTTTCCGAGTCGGACGGAAAGCTTCAGCACAAACATACCACAGTACTGAAGTCCGGAACCTGCCACAGCAGCCAGTCTTCATTAAGGGTGTACAGGGCTTTGCACGTGATTACATCGACGGGACCCTTGTTTATCTTCTGGTTCAAGGTCGTCACCAACAAGTAGAATGGCTCTCCAACAGTCTCCTTGGAAGGGACACAAAAGCGACGGTTAGCTTTCTGTGGAATCCACTATACTTTCCAAAGATTTAAAGTTGCAGTTTATGGCAGTAGGACAGGGGACAGGGGGCAGTGTTTTTCAAACAACAATAGGAAATTCCCAAGGAAATAACTATCACTCCACTTAGGACTGAGGGCAAAACTGAGGCATGTGTGCACACATACACAAACTCACACACACACAGTCAACAGCCACGTGAAGTGCCCGCAGTAGTGGAGCATTCTTGTATGCTGAAGTCTCTGTGTAGTATGCTAATGCTCAGCAGTTGGCTAACACCTAAAAATACTGAGTAGATGCAGAGGTTTAACCTTTGTTCCTATTTAATTACTTTCTTTTTAAAAGAAAACCCCAAAACTAAATAGCATTTTAAAAAGTGCACCATTAGCCTTGGTAATGTGAATAAACATAAGAACATTTTAGAGACTTGCCAAAGAGGATGTTTTTTGGTGTTTACATCTTTTCATGAAGGAAGTGGCCCTCAGTGACACAACTGGCAGCCTTCTCTCCTGCCCCGCCAGCCAGTCCCGTGCTGTCCTCAGACACAGTGTGTGCAGTTCCTCCTTGGGGAAGGGCCACAATGTGTGTCTCCTCCTTTCCCTGGACTGAGCCAATTCCATCACTCTAAAGCTTTTTTTTTGCCAAACATCTGAAGACCATCCTGAAGGCTTCTTTCTCCACACTTGTACCGTGTGCTCTTGTTCCCGGACCAGGGGTTGCCGCCCCTGTATTACTGAAATGCCTCAAATTTGCAGCCATTTTGTGCTCAAATGGAGTCTGGGCAGCCCAAAGGGAAGGTGGTGTGTTCTGCTTCTGCTGCAGCCTTGCTAAATAATAAACCCGCCATGAGCAGCGGGCATTAGACAGATTACACAGGGGAAGGAAGAGCCAGGCCAGAGCCAGGAAGTCAAACTGCATTGGTGATGATGAAAAGCCAGCCACATGACTAAGGCTTGAGGCACCAGTTTACAAAGTGATGCTTTACAGCCGCTGCATCTGGCTCTGAAAGGAAGATCCCTTGGACCTTTCACCTGCTTTCCCTTGAACATGTAAACTGAGACTTCTTTGAAGTCTCGTGCGTCCCCGCCTCCTGACCCCCTGTCCCACTCTCTATACTTACTCCTAGAACATGAGCCCGCCCCTGGCCTGGAGCTTCCTCTTGCCCCCTTCTGCCTCCCTACACTCCCGTGGGCCCCCCTATCACTTCTCCCTCCCCTGCTGATACAACCTTGAGGCTCCTCTTTAGTGTACGACAGAGACGGAATGCTCAAAAATTTCCCTGGTGGAGAGAGGGTTGGAACCAGTACTCAGCATTTAACTTCTTTTATTTAGTGGTTCACAACCCGGGAGCTCTCTTCTCTTGCCCTCTGCCCTTCTGGGTAATGTCCTGACCACAAACCTAGAAGCTCTGCTTCTCCTTTTCCTCCAGCACACATCAGAGAGGGGCGAGCGCCTTGGTGAGCGGCTGGATGCGCCCACAGAGGACGGAGTCAGGGGGCCAGTGGGCTCTTCTCCGCTGTGCGGAGGGGCAGCTCGAGTCAGGAATCCTTCAGAGGGTGGCGAGACCGAGATCAGTAAGCCACAGCGTATACACGTGGTTCTAACCCTGGATACTCATTACCAGAATATCTGTGGGTTCTCATAAAAAGGTCAGGCGCCTGGGCCCTACTTTAGACCCGCAGATCCAGAATATCTAGAGCTGAGGCCTGAACATCTACAGTTTTAACACCTTCCCAGGGGACCCTGATGTGTGGCTAGCTCAGGAAGCCATGTGGCCGTGAGGTTTCTTTGTCACCACTGAACAAATGTCTAGGTCAGTCATACCTCCTGAGGGCTTTGGCATCTTCAGACCAGGATACACACAGCAGCCTAGGAAGCTGGCCTGGGGCAGAGCCCTAGTCACTGAACCACCCCCACCCCCGCCCTCCTGTGATGGCAACGGAGCTTGGCCCCTTCACTGACCTCAGTGTCCCTTTGCTGTGAGACCTGACTCTGGCCCTGGCTGAGCCGGAGGCTTTCAATCGCTGTGATCTCATTCCATCCTTGAACCCTCTCTTAAACCTGTAAGAAGGCGCCTGCCTCACTGGGAAGGCAGTATGTAGGGTGGCTAAGAGCTCGTCATCCCTGGGGCTGTCACGCACTAGCTGTGTGACCTGGGGAAAGTCACATCTATTCTGTGTGCCCCAATTTCCTCAATATGCCAAATGGTCATTCAGGTACTTACCTCTTGGAATTTAAGTGAGAAAAGGTGAGAAAAGGTCTTAGCATGTTGTCTGGCACAGTCAATAAATGGCAGTCACTAATATTATGGTTACTTTACCCCCAGGTCTTGGGAGGTACCCAGGGGTAGTCACCTGGAAGTTACAGCACCAGCGGGGCCCAGTCAAATGTTCCTGGGGCACAGCAGGATGAGTCCCACACCGCCTTGGGCCCCTCAGGTCCTCCACAGCAGAGGGAATTATTCCACTAAAAACGAAAGTATCGCCCACTGGCTCAATGCCACTTCCTCCCAGTGAACACACCGCCCCCTCACCACCAAGTGCTCAAGATACTCTTCAGTCAGCTCTGCGCAGTCTTCACCCACAATCCTCTGCTCAAATTGGGGGCCCTTTAGGTTTAGAGATCAGATTTTTGGAATGCCTCACCCATTTAATGCCCAAGAGCAGCAAGAGCAAGGCGCCAACCAACCCTTGAGGGCTCAAACTAAGAATCACAGGATGCCAGAAGAAAGATCTGGAAAGGGATTTAAAACCAATGACCATACCTCTTATTTGGTGGGTAGAAGCCCACATGGAAATTGCCATACCCAGAGACACACAGCTAGCTGGTATGGAGATGAGTTAGAGCCCGAACCTGTACCTTCTAACCCAAGAATCCTAATCTAGTGTTCATTCTATTAGCCTAGGGCTCTCAAATGTAAGGCAGGTGGGATAACCTGGAGGAGCTTAGGAAACATGAACAATGGGGCCCCACTCCCAGAGCTTCTGGTTCAGTAGCATTGTGGTGGGGCAGCCACCTGACTTTCAAGACTAAGCCCTGGGAACTGGGTAAGGGTCCTGCTTAGAAGGGCCCCGTTTAGAAGTGGTCCCGGATGAAGCTAGGTTGGTGGAAAGCAAAAAATATTTGCCCCAGAAATAACCACTCAACACCTCCCCAAAGCGTGTGATGATTAATACCAAGTAAACAGAAAAGAAGGCAGATTTCATTAATCTTAATAAATGGATTAAGTAGATTGCCTTGAGAGAGGAAGGGGTTGGCAAAAAAAAAAAAATGTTGTGCATCTACTTGTAAGATTGCATTAAACATTAAACTAAGCACAGTCTATTTAAAGTGCTGCTTTTGGATCTGAACTTAAGTAGCACTGTTAAAACCTGTGGCATAGCAGTATATCTTATTCAAAGTTTAATTAGATTTCAAAACTAGCTACAAATACACAATTATGCAGCTTTGCTGGAATCTGGATGGCTGGTGAAATTAAAGAAGGATAAGAACTTTCTGCACCCATGGCCTCAGAGAGCTGAAGGAAGACTGGGTTCAACAGAACACTCTCACTCTTCTTTTCCTGTTAATATTTTATTATAATAATGGCCAACATTTATGGAGGGCTTCCTCAGTGCTAAGCAATTGCACACGTTTTCTCATCTGTGCCTCAGAACAGGCCTAAAATATCCTTCTTCCAGTTCTACAGGTTACAAAAACCAAGGCTCAGACAGCACAGGACCTCAGTAAGTGGGAGAGTTCTAATTTCAGACTGAGCAGTGGGCTCCAGGGCCCACTCTCTAAACTACTGGAATCTGTAGAAAGATCGCATTTGAAAAGATTTTAAGATTCAATTAGATTACAGCCAGAGTCTTATAGTAGCTCCAACAAAATGAACTCAAGGGGCAGATGGCTCTTTGGGGACTTGCTTTAATATGGAATGACTGGTAAGAATTGAGTATAATTAGCTTACAGCACACTGGTAGGGAAACGGCCGTTTCCCGGATGCTTCAGAGGCCCGGAGAAAGGTGTGTTCCTTTCAGTATTTGAAATACTCCCTCCACTCGGGACATTCTCTTACATGGGCCAACTGGGCTCTGGTTGTTAGTGAATGAAGTAAGGTGGGTTCAAGAGTCAATGGGTATAAAATTTCACTTATGCAAGATAAATAAGTTCTAGACATCTATTGTGCAACATTATGCTTACTGATAACAACACTTAAAAATCCATTAAGAGGGTAGGTCTCATGTTCATTGTTCTTACCACAATAAAATTTTGAGGAGATTCTGAATGAACTGAACTTGCATAGGCCGATGACAGCAAACACAATTTTTATTTCCCCCTTGTGTGCTCCAGGTAAGGACTAAGACTAAAAGCAAGGGAATGATGACACCATGGAGTGCTCAGGACTTATCAAGACATCAGCATCTGCTAAAAATAACTGCCTATTGTCTTACCCCTGACACTGCCACGGGAGGCGAGCAGCACTTACCCGCAGAAAACCAGAAAGGCAGACAGACATCCAGTTTGTGAGGAGTTTTTCAACCACGGACTCAGTACGTCTTAGCATGAGCTTAGGCTGCATGTTACTGGACTGCTCCATCAAGTCCCTGGTCAGTACCTCCAGGATGCTGGTTAGATAGACCAGCTTGGTTTGCAGTGCAATGGTTAAGAAGGAGGCGAACAGACACCTGTTTAAAAAAAGAGCCTTTGTCACAATAGCCAAGACATGGAAACAACCTAAGTGTCCACTGTAGATGAATGGATAAAGATGTGGCACATGTATTTATATACATGCAAAATTAAATACCATTGAGCCATAAATGAAAATGAAATCTTGCCATTTGCCAGCACATGAACAGACCCTGAGGGCATTATGCTAAGTGAAATACATATGAATGATCTCCTATGATCTCACTTATAGGAAAAGAGATCAGGGTATTTGTGGTCACTAGGGGCAGGGTAAAGTTGATGGGAGGGAAAATTGAAAGAAGGGAATCAAAAGGTATTATAACTTCCAGTTATAAGATAAATAAGTACCAGGGACGTAACATACAACATGATGACTATAGTTAACACTGCTGTGTGGTGCAGCTGAAAATTGCTAAGAGAGTAATCCTATTTCTCATCATAAGGGAAAAAAGCATTTTTTTGTAGCTATATGAGATTTTGGGCATTAACTAAATTTATGGCGGTAATCATTTTCCAACGTATTTATGTCAAATCATCATGCTGTACCCACTACACTAAACTTATACAGTACTGTAAGTCAATTATATCTCAATAAAAGTGGAAAAAAAAGACAGATGACAAAAAGCATACACACGAAGAGAAAAAACAGCCTTGGTTGATGAGGTTAACCATCAGCTGTGATTTGGCTTGACACATGGAAGCTTGAGGGGCAATAGGGTACTATCCATGGGCACTTTTTTTTTTTAATGTCTAAGTTTCAACCACCTTCATTCTCCATCCATAAAAACCACACACCAATGTTAACTTTTGGACATTTCATTTATTTTCAGCACTTGAACTTTAAACTAGACTAGTAACAAGAAGTGAATGTCTTTCCCGAATTTTCAGGGTGTTTTTAAAAATAAAAAATAGTACTTCCGCTTTTCTGATTTAGGACTCATGTTTTTTTCTTGGTGTTGGGGTTTTTCAGGGTTTTTGGTGGGGGAGGGGTGTTGTATGTGTGCATCTTTAAAATAGGAATTTGCGCTGGGGTGGTATAATCTGAAATGCAGATATCACAGCTGCATGACTATCCAACCAAACAGCCTGTTCTCAAGACGCCAAGTTCGAGTTGTGATTTAGAAATAAGATAATAAGGAGCTTAGGTTTTATTTTCTCTACTTAATGACTCTCAAAATATAAATAAGTTGACCAATACCTGTCCTTCACTGAAAAGTTCTTCTGTTTCTCAAGGGTGTGGATGACAGTAACAAGGAAGCTTTTGTTACAAATCAGGGCATCCAAAGCCGTGAGACTCTCATTCTTGTCACTGGCATCTCTGTTCTGGGAAAAAAAAAAAAAAATCTGTAATATAGTATCATATAACACAATAACTTAAAAGTTAGAAAGTAGATCCAATCCACAATGGGTTTTCCAAGACAATGAATTATTTAATATTGAATTCATGATCCAAAAACCCACAATAAAAATTCAAAATAATAATGGAGATGATGATGATGATGATGATAACACTATGAAAGTCAGGCAGTCATGGGCTAAAAATGAAAACTTAGAGACTTACATGCATATCTTCGGTGAAGATGTGTGTGAAGCCACCTGACTGAGAGGAAGGAGACACTTTTATTATTCATAACATCCAAAGGAAATGAATAGTGTTTTTTGTTATAATACCAAAGTCCGTTTTTAATAAAGTAGAGACACTATTTGCTAATCTGAAGAGTCCATGGGCATATTCTCTAATGCGTAATAAATAATTATTCAGCTCTCAAGAAACACCAATGCATTCCGAAAGCCTCTAAGAAGAAGAATTATGGCATCAGTCCCATTTTTGGTAGATGAAGGCTTCTCACACTTGGAAAGAACTGACTCGGAGAAGTGGTGGTTAAAGAAGACCATGCAAATATGCAGACCACTCCTCAAGCCCTTTAACTTCTTAGTATCTATACAGAATTGTGTTGGTAAGTGTTTACAAGTCTTAGCTCAGTATCTACTGTCTCCACACGCCACATCAATCTGGAGTGAAACTAATTGGCTTCCAGCCCTGGTTTCATCACATACTGGTTACACGTCACCGTTGACAGGTCATTTAATCCTCTGCGCCTTTCTTTTCTCATCTGCAAAATGGGGACAATGATTCCCAACTCATGAGTGTGGTGTGAAAATTAAATAAATGAACGTATAGTAAGTTCTCGATGTCAGCTATTATTGTTTTGATCACTAACTTCTGACAAACTAGCCCAAAATGCTGTTGTCCTGCTGGTTTCTAAAAATATTTTAATGTGCTATGCTATGTAGCTCCTGGATATACGCTTTTAAATTTGAATTTTCTTTTTTTAACATATCATAAATCTTAATGGAATTAAATGATTAAATTTTAAAAGCATGCTGAGTTATTTTAAATGAGTCAACAGAATGAAAAACAAACTAAAAAATATTCAGATTTTTCTTTCTTTTTTTCTTTTTGTAGTAATTGTAACTTTAGGCTACTTATCTTATTAAAGTAAATTTCTTCTGCAGAGAATTTTTGCTTTATTTGTTAGCCCAAGCAAGAAGACCTCAACTATTTTTGGTCATACTTTCCCTTAGTAATAGGCAGAAAAATCAAACCCTACATTTGCATTTTCTACTTCTACTATTCTTCTGCTGAATCAACTTTAAGTAGGTAGGCAGTTCAAACAAATTGATTCTTGACTTTAGATAGGAAAATGCCAGCTTGGCTTCCGCCTTCCTTTTCTAGGAGGTTAGGTGCTCTGCTTACCCTAATTTCTTTTCTTATTTTCAACAAAACAAAGTAGTCAATATAATGAAAAGCAAGGCCTTAAAAGCCAAACCCTGCCAGCAAGGTGGAGAACCAGGAACTGGTAGCGCCTTGGTCGCTGTGAACCTACAGTTACTTTGGGTTTTGTTATCTGGTAGATGTTTTTAGGTAGATGTTTTGGTATTTAGATAGACTACCTAAAATTTCCCTCTGTCGTCCACCCCCCGCCTCAGACTAGAGGTGTGGGCTCCTGATCTCTCAGTTAAGGGCCTGATTAACAGATGGACTTGTCTGCAGTCTGGCATGCACTTCAGCAGGCTGGTCCTAGTAGAACACTCATATGTCTCCCTGTTCACCATGTCTTTTCCGACCTATGTAAGTTCGATTTTAACTTAGGTCTCCTCGATAGGGTACTGGTAAACTTATGCTTGTTTTTTTCTGGGTTTTCTCCTTTAATGACTACTCCTTCTGTCTCCAGTTTGTATGTCTTTCCAGGTGCCTTTCCAGATTATGTATAACCTGGAGTTAAATCAGCTGGGCTCCTGGTAACTCTCACTCTCTTCCCCTAAGATGGCGGTTTTCCACCCTTTCCATCTCATGGCACACATAAACTAATTACTAAAATTCTGCGGCACACCAAAAAGACATGACATTTTTTGCCAATCTGCCAAAAAATATAGGTATAACTTTGATTCACTCACACCTGACAGCTGTTTTTGTGTTGGCTGTCGCCATTTTTAAATTTGACAATCTAAGGGAAAAGAGGTCAGTGTCCCTGACTAAATAGTCAGGCATTGCATGTTTTAAAAAGTCTTGTGGCACAATGGTCGAAAATCACTGTCCTCAGGTAATACAGAATTGTCCCTGGTAACGAATGCAACAAGTGCTCCTTTGCATTCGTTACCCTATCTTGCTCTTGATGACTGAATTTAGAAGATAGCAAAATTTCTTTTTCAGGTCACAGATTACTCTTTTCAGCACTCAAGAGCAATCACTAACTGTAAAAGCCCACACAGTTCTCATGTTGATGGTGGAAATCTCTGTTATTTCATTGCTGTTAAATTCTTAATGAGAATCTCAGAGAGCTGGGAAATAGTACTTGCGATGCACCCTTTGCTGAGGCTCTGCGCCGTCATCCTGATTCAGGGAATTGAACTCCCCTCCCTGCATGATGCTCTTCCGCAGAAATGGATGAGGTGGCAAATGGCAAGTCTTGGTGCCTGATACTCTTGGAGGATGAGTTTTTAGAAAAAACTACAAGTTCAAAAAGCTAGAGTCTTATTTACAGTCCTCTTGATTTACAACATTAAGGCTTGGCAAAAAATACGGTGGGTGTTTTATGGCGGTAGCCCAACCTCCAGACACAACATCACATATCATGGTGTCCACTTCCAGAATTATAGAGAAAGTAGGAATCGCTTCCTGAGGGTGTCTGAGTTTCTGAACTCTAGGTTTCTGGCCAAATGTAGCTGAGAAGCTCCCGATAAGGTGATACAAGCTCTTGGCCTGGAGAGGCTTCTGGCTTTGCTCAGAAGTCTCGATTTCATCGTGATAATTGGTGTTGATGTGTTCCAGAGGTTGGGCCTTTCTTGTGGTCACCAGTTCAAGACAAAAAAGGCGGTTTGCCGGAGCTGGGGTATTGAGAGGTGTCGCCGATGACAGGAGAATGAGTGTGCCTCGCCAAAGACTTGGGAGGGTAAATGAAGAAGGCTGAGTGACTGGGTGAGAGAATGGAGGTGTTCAGAACATAAGTGAGACTGGAAACCAAAGGGTTAAGTAGATTACTCCTTGGAGTCCTACAGCAAATCCATCATCTCGTGCAGCTAGGTCTACTCAATGAGGATGATGCTAACTGATTTGCTAAGTAATAACTACTGAAGAGAACCATAAAAACTCTACACTGCTAAAAATGACTGTTATCAACTCAAATTCTACTATACACGTCTACTTTCCAACCTCTTGGCCGGTAGTTCTTTTCATTTCCAATTGAGAAGTAATAGTGAATAATCTAGCAGCTGCAATGGAAGTCATGCAGATAAACACAACAAATTGGCCAGCCCACAATTTATTGATTTTTAAATAAACTAGCTCTCTTCTCAGCTACAAATTCAGTTCTAAACTGGTAGTAAAATAAAGCAAAAACCATCACTCTGAACTTCTGTCCCTCTGAGGTTTTTGTTACTGGACAAAGAGTAATTGCCAGTGGCCCATCACTGCTTTATACCCTCATCAATCCAATTAATAATTATCCTTTTCCCTGCTCTGCTCAAACTTAAGCCATTATTTTATACCAACCACGTCCTCTATAGCTGCCTTGGAAGCAAACACCCATCTTAACAACAGCAACAAGCACCTTCATTATTATTCAAGATTCAACCTTAGGAACATGATCAATGCTCTTTTACCTCAGGGAAGAAAGTTCTCAGAGCAAAATGTTTGTAGTCAAGGAAGGGAACAGTTCCAAAACTATCAACCACATCCAATTTATCCATCTGCAGCTCGGCAAAGCCTGCAAAACAGAATCCCAAGAGCAATATTTTAACTCAACAAAAAATGGATAAAATCTTCTGCTGTTTTGTCTAACACGAAGTGTGACCTTGGTTTTTATTAGAGAAGAAACAATAGATAATTACTTGGTTGGCTGCAGAGAAGAGCTGAAATAAGAGACAAAGTCAGGCCCAGGCCCTGCTGTTCAGTTGCCTTCCGTTAGACAAACACTTCTCATTACTGAGGCCATCTCCGTTTAAGGGTCAAAAAAAAATGACAATAAAAAAAGACTGGTTTTTCTACAAATAAAATTTTGGAACCTACCATCACGGATCTCTTTCCGGAGCTCGCTCTCCAGGAGCTCCAGCTGTTGGCTCTGCTTGCGACTTAGCTCCTTTGATTTGTGTCTGGTCACCACCACAGCCACTGAGGAGACAGACAGCCAGCATCAGATTGACATATTAACTTAAAAAACAAAAAGGAAAATGAAAATCAACCTTTACAGTTTTTTTCAGAGAGAGGATAAACAGCATTTAAGAGGTGGAAAGTATAAAAAGAAAAATCCCCCGTGACAGGTCACTCTGAAGAGATGGATGCTCCAATGCAAGAGAAAAACAAAAACCTCACTCATCTTAAAATTGAAAACTAAATCAAATAACTTTCACTTGTAACCAAAGGTCCCAGTTGGCTGACCAGTAATGGAATGAGCCAAGTTTCCCTACAGACACAGACCACTTATATTGTTCCACGGGTTGTTTTTGGTGGTTTTTTTTTTTAATGTTTCTAAATATCGCTGGAAAAATAATGATGAGCTGCAAATGCAGAAAGACACCATAGTCCAGTTAGCTACATAAGCCAAACTTGCGGAGATCAAGTGGGATGACATGAGGAGTGGGCCACAGTGAAACACCACATCTGATTATTGCTTCTTTCTCCACTTTATCTTGCTTCTATCTGTGCTGTAGAGGCAGTAAAGCGGCCAGGTTCAATGCTGGGGTTCGTTCCCTGCTCTGCTGTGTACTAGCTGTGTGACCTCAGGTAAGTTCCTTAGCATCTCTGTGCCTGGCTGCCTTATCTGCAAAGGGCCTACCTCACTGTGATATTGTGAGGATTAAAGGAAGTAACTCACAGAAAGCACTGAGACCATGTATTAAAAAAGATCTCAACAACTGTCAATTATCATTATTTTATTCTAGAAAGTTTTTCTCCTTTTAATAGAAATTTCATGTTAAAAGGACCCTGCCAGCAGTAGATGGGAATGATGCTGGAGGACACAAAATTAAATATGATTTTTCCCTGGACCACTTTGTAAAGTCAACAGTCTTAACCATAATGTGCATTGTACCTCTTCAAGAAAGGGTGGGGCATGCAGTCATTCCTAAATTTACTTGATCACAGAACCCCTTTACTTGGGACTGATGTGCCTCAGGTTGCACTTTGGGCTACCCTGGCTCACTGAATGGAAAGGGAGCAGTTGGTGACACCCACTAAGCAGTGAGTTTTTCGTGGCTGAAACCTCCAGGGGCAGCCACAGTGGGGGTGTTTGTAGGCGGCAGGCCTAGCCCAGGTGTGGTGAGCGTTTTCACTCATAATGTGATTGATGGACTAAAGAGTATACTTACTCCAGCTGCTAATGACACAGGTCTCCCTGAAATCATGGGAAGAAGGGGATGAGAATTTTAAAGGGCTTTGCAGATACCAATGATGCCAGAAGCAACTCGTTAAATTTATCTTAAAGAGCATAACAATCTCTACAAACCAAGCAAAGGTAGGGGAAGAGCAAGATCACAGGTGCCTCGTAAGCCACAAAGTGGACGTGAATTTAGAATGAGACAGCAGCCAATTCTCAAAATGGAGCCCAGAATTTGGAATTTCCAAGTAATCTTCTTACTGTCGGCACCAGACAGGACTTTATTAAAATACCAAGCCCAATCCTGGATTCCAGATATGCCACAGGGGTAAGAAAACTTGGGGAGAGCATAAAAAAAATACCTGAAATGATTGTCAACAGGGCAAATCAGGGTCTCTGTAAAATGAGTTCACTCTATTAGGCCAGTTAATCACACACATAAATCTTGCCCTCACTGGATTGAGGACCACCCAAGACAAAGGACCAGGCCTTAACTCATCTTCTCTAGCTGCAGAGACTGGCACAGTTATTAGCAACATAACAGATACTCAATAAATACAAGGTAAATAATGGGTACAGAGATGCATGAGCAAACGTGTGAGGAAGCGTGTACCTGGAAGGAGATGTTAGCAACTATTAACAGAAAACCTTAGAAAGGCAATGCCTGGGTTAAGTCAAAAAATACAAAATGCTACGTTAGCTGAGGAGAAGAGCTCTTTTTTCAAAGAAGACAAGAGGAAACAGACTTAACGTGAAAAGCAGCTCGGAACCAGAGGTCACAAACTAAATGGCTACAGGGACCAGGTACAAAGACGAGTTAAGTGACCTGAGTGGAACAATAGAGAGTAATAGAGACTGTGGCAAAAAGCCACTGAACATATGCTCTTTCTTAAAGTGGTGGCTGCTACTCAGCTCCAGCAAACTGGTGCTAGGGGAAATTGGGATCCAATGATCCAGATCTTCCAAATTTGCAAGAGATTTTTAAAAATAGGAATCACCTAGTTTTAAAATACTGTGAACTATGTCAAAGTTTTAAAAAATGCTGTGTGGGCCAAAGAAAACACATCAGTTAGCCAGATTCAGTCAGTGAGCAACCACCATGGGGTCGCCACGCTTGGACGAGCCTTGGAACATTTTAATAGATGGTACAGATCGCACTTCTACGACGCAGTTCTGCCAGGACGTGTAGGGCTGGAGTGGGCGGGAGGGGTGGGATGGCAGGGTGAGACAGCCAAGTCACGGGAGTCCAAAGTCCCAGAAGAATTCCGAGGGAGTAATTGAGACATTTGTCATCGCTAATCAAAGGATCGCGGAAGCAACGCGGATTATAATTTTCAAACACTAAAATACCATCTTTGTGATCCAACCTCTTATTCCTAAAGCATTCTAAAAAAATGTTTAGAAAGCCCTCAACGTGTACCTATCATTCCTGTCCCAAAGTTTTGGTTTGTGTTTTCATCCATTAATACTCAACTGAAGCAAACAGCCCCTGAAAGCTGGAAGTCGGCCTGCCTGAAGAGAGGCCCCAGGGAATAATTTTTTTTTGACAAAGTTAAACAGGGCACTTACCAGAAATGACAATCAAGAGCAAGATGGGAAGCGCAATCAGAAAATACAAAGGGGAAGCAACTGATTGCTGCTCAACATCGAGCTCCAAGTTCCCCAGTTTGACCTAATGGGACAAAGAATGTCATTAGACTCAATCAGACAGGTACCATATCTTCTTATACAGTTTTCTCCCCCAAGTGATTTTCCCCAAGAAACAAAGAGATGGCAAGCTAGGTAGGCTATCTGAGTTCAAGACCCATCTCTGGAACGAATTAGCTATGTGACTTTGAGCCAATGAAGATGGTTCACTGTGCCTCAGCTTCCAGATGTGTCATTTGTGGTTAGACTAGACCTAGAGACTTTAAATCTTGGTCCTTTTTGCCCTGGGGATTTAAAGAGGTGGAACTTGAGGGAGAGAAGCCCCTTAGCCCCTGACCAACGAGGCAAATAACTTTTATCCCTTCTACATCTTGCGTTTTCTCGGCACCTCCGCCTGGATGATCCTTGAGGGCCTTTACCAATTTTAGTTTTTCCTTATAAAAAATTCTATAAAACTTATAAAGGGAAAACGTCTATATCAAGCCCTGTTTTTTCACTGACATACACACCAGTAGAAAGGTGCATTTCCATCCTCGGAGCCACAACTGCTCTATGGAAGCATTTGAGCAAAGTGGCCAGAGCCCAGAATCGGGACCCAGAAAGAGGGCCCGGGTCCTCAGCCCCAGCTTTGCCACCTGCTCTCCTCAGCAGCTGTAGGGCTTGAGAGAGTTACTCACCCATCCAGTCCTCGCTCTCCTCATTTTTAAACTGTAGCATCGTCCTGAAGACTAAATGGTGCCCTATCATTGAAGTTGGTCAGCTCATGGCACTCCTGCTCACTCTTCAGCAGCTTCCCAGAGCTCAAAGCCACGTCCTCACAATAGCCCACGAGGCCCCAACGATCTGTCAGCTCTCCCGGCTCCCACCATTGGCTCTCCAGCTTCCTCAGAATATTCCCCCTTGCTCCCTCCACTCCAGCCGCACTGGCCTCCTTGTTGCTCAAATGCCCCAGGCAGGCTTCCAACTCGGGACCTTCACAACCCCCGGTCCCCTTCGCCTAGCACACTCTGCCCCAGACAGCCCATGGCTGGCTCACTCCTCTGCTCCTGGAGGTCTTTACTCAAACGCCATCTTTACAGGGAGACCTTTTCTTCCCACCATCATAAAACTGACGGCACTGCCCCATGTCCCTATGCCCCTCCCTGCTGCATTTTTCTCCATAACAGTTTCCACCATCTCACACAGGTTTGATGTATTTTATTTGCTATGTATCTCTTTAGGTAATCCCATAAAGGAGAGTGTTTCTTGTCTGTTTTCTTCTCTGCTGTCCCCACCACAGCGTAGGCACTCCGGAACTGTATTTCATGAATAAGGGAGAATCTAGCACTTGCTCTTCTCAACTAACTGGAGGGGAGGAGCACTAGTGAATTTAGTAGTTATTGATTTGACAATTATTATTACCATTTTACCATACGACAGATGACAAAAGGAGGCTTGGCGCAGCTGAGTGACTCATCTAAGGCCACACAGCTATCAACTGATGCAGCTGGAACATGAACACATTTTTGTTTTGCTTTCCAGTCTAGTGTTCTTTTTCCTTGTCCTTTATCCAATTATTTATGACTATAGACCATAAAGCATCTTTTTTTTTTTTTCTGTTAGAGACTGTGTAGACCCTAATATGGGAAGAACGCTATAAAGGGAGACTTCTAATATGTTTCCCTTCCCCATGGCCTCACATCTTTATTGGAGGGACATAAATACACCAGTGACAGGACCCTCAAACATGACTGGGAAAAGATCAATCACAGTGACTGACTTCACGGTGGAGGAAACAGCCCACCGCCCATAGATGGTCTGGTCTCCTCTAGATGCGAATGCTCCTCTGAGTGTGTTAAAGAGCCCCCATTTTGGGATTCTGCTAAGACATGTTCTCTCTGCATCTGGGAAAAGAATGACAGCTCCTTCATCAATGGGTCTAGAGATTCTGTTTGCAGATGCTACAGTCTCAACGTATGGCTAAAACAAAAGCCATCAAGACTCATTAGCCATACAGACAATGATGTGTTCACTGCTCTGACATTCAAATAGGCACAAGGGTGGATTCTGACAGCTCCTTCGGTGGAAGTATGCATGGACTGGCAATACCAACTTTGTTCATCTTCTGTTTAAAGTGAGGATCTAAAGATCCAAGAAAGATTCCATTCTGGCTTCTGGGTTAGCCAAGGAACACCCTCACCTCCGCCCCCGCCCTCAGGTAAGGTAAAACTGTCACAGAGGATGGTCAGGTGACTCACGTGAACTTTCTTAGAAGAAGAGGCGATGCTGTTTGCAGTTCTGATGCCTTTAATTTTGCAGAGGATGGTGGTGAGATCTTGATTTCTAGTAATATTTTCAAAGCTGCAATTTAATTGCTTGTTTTCCCCATGGAATAGAGTAATTTCAATGTCTTTCTCAGAAATGTTAAAGTTATCATTTTCTTTCTGTGAAGAACAAAGCAAAGATGAAGAACCAGGGTGCATGTGGAAACTCACAAACATAAGCACACCTTTACATTTGAGGAGGGCACAACACACACCCTCCTGAAACAATAGAAACGTACCAGAATTTTTACTTCCAATTCTGTGTCCACCTCGGGGTCAACCCGATATCCTGTAAATCTGGGGTCCTTAAGATACTGCAAACTTCCACAATCCAAGTAGGTCTCCTGAACTTTCAGCTTCACTGTGACATTCGTACGCACTTTCGAACCCTTTAAACTGGGGGCTGAGAAACTGCAGGAAGTCGCCACACAATCTTCAGAGACCTGAGGGAGAAGAAGAGAGCATTTAGCAAATCTCATTAATGAAACCCAGCCCTGGGATTTAAGAGCTAAGTGACCGAGGTAACTGAATTTCTTTGCGCTCTGTTTTCTCATCTGTAAAATGGGACAATACTGCCTAACTGGCAGGGCTGAATTACCTCAACATAAAATTAAATGAGATGAGGGATCACTAAAACATTAAATGAGATTATCCACACAAAAATGGCATACAAATGCCAGCTATTATTTTTATTAATATTATTAACAACAATGAAAACAGCCCGGTTATGCAATGAGAAAAAGATGGCATGCAGAAATAAGCTGGCCAGAGAAAGGCCAATGGGCCTGGACGTCCTAGCCATGAAGGCTGAGGCCGGGGAAACTCCCCCAGAGGAGGAGAGGAGAGGAACAGGCAGTAAGGCCAGCAGCTGGCCTGCAAGCAGCTGGCTGAGTCATGTTGGGGAACCTCTTGCAGCGCTTCAGCAGAAATCGCTAACCACAGGAAAAAAAGGTTTTGTAGGCCTAACAGAAAATAGGAGGAACAAAAGTTAAGGGGACAATGCATTCCCTGTCATAAGACGAGCACGAAGCCTGTAAACAAAGCTGGAAGTGTGGCACAATTTCAGGTTTATTTATAAAAAAGCTAACAAACATAAATATTGGCAGTTTCAGGCCTGCAGAGAGACAGACAGAAAGCTGCTGGGAGTGAGGGGGTTGACAAGCGTTTTATAGAAGAGCAATCAAACTTGTGGAAAGAAAATTTTCAGGTGGAAGGTTGCCCCCTTTTTATTTACTCTCAAATACTGGCCTATAAAAAGGAGGTAGGAAGAGGCAATAGATGGGAAAATCTGATGCAAAGGGCTGAGATGCGAAGAGGCTAAACCCCCTCTTCCTTCACACCTTTCCAAACTCCAGCCCCGAGTCTCTCGCTCTCTGCACTCTGGAGCTGTGATGAAAACCACTAACCTTCCCAGCAGCTGTAACCCCAGCAGGACGGCTTCTCATTAGGGATGCCTTCTACAAAGAACTGGTGATGGGGCCACCCTAACCTCATTATCCTCAACTCTCTCAATTTCCATACTAGTTACCAGCTGCCTCTATAGGAACTGCTCTTTTTTGTTAGTTTCCAAGCAACCACCTGGGCACCTTCACTGGCCATCTTATTTGCTTTCACTCCTTAAAATGAAGCTACTCTGCAAGATGCCATCCTGGGTGCTCTTCTCTTCTTCCTCTGTGCTCTCACTCCCATGATGCTGTTCTCACGCTCCCCCGTATGGCAGCTTTACAGGACGGCTCAGGCCTGTCCAGCTCCACACTCTCCCCAGCAGTCTCGACCTGCCCTACTGACAGCAGCCCAAAGGACAGCTGAGCATCTCAAACACATCTGGACCTTGCATGAGCATTCTCCTCAGTCTCCTGGTCTTTTCCCAGTTACTGCTGCTCCGAACTATCCTGTGCACTGTTGCCAAAACAGCCTACACTCACGTCACTCTCTGCTTAGGGATCTTCAATTCTGCCCATGGCCTCGAGAATTAAGGGCAAAGTTGCAGTCTGATACGTTCTGACAGCCCAAGTTTTCCAGCCACACCTCTGGCTCATTCCTGACCTGTCCTCTGGGTTCCAGTTGACATTTTCCCTTCCCAGGCCTGGGAGTGATTTGTCCTTGTCCCCCGCACCTGAACTGGCCTTCCTGTTCCCACCTAGCCAAATCCTACCCATCCTGCTTCTCTCCACAGACATTCTGAATTCCATCCATATTTAATTTCCCTTTCATGTGGGAACACACAGTGCCTTCTTGGACTTAAGGGGTTTCTGAGCTGGCTGGGAAAGAGAGGACCTAAAATTGAAGGACATCCCATGCTCTCAATTTTCCATGCTGCTGCAGATTTGCCATTTCCCTCCATGAAAGTGACATGACTATCGTATTTATTTTTTTTCCCTGCACCCATCAAAATGTTTTGCCCACAGTAGATGCACAGTAAGTTCTACTCGATCTAGCAACAGCACTGGGGAGGGAGAGTGAGTCCACTCACAACTTCAGGCAATGTCTCTGGTCAGAGTCAATCTGGTCTAGTCAATCGTGTTCACATCACGGAGACGTGGTCTGGAATCAGATACAATGTGAGGCTTGGAACTGGCTCTGAAATGCATCATTAGGTGGATGTGTTTATGATAAGGCCGCCAGGATGACTTAGGATGGCCTCCTGCGTCTAGGCCTGAACCACACTGGACCCAACCAGGGAACAAGTCTGAGAATGCTCAAAGACCTGCCAGCTTTGGCAGGAAGTAGTCAGGCTGGGCACCAGAGAGGCTGAGACCTTCACACCTCATTGAAGGAGAGAAATGGGAAGAGAACGGGGAGAGCGTTCTAGAAGAGTTTCCAAGTGCACTCAGAGGCCCCCGACTGTTATCTGAAATCCATGGTGTCCTGTGACCAGGCCCATGTGTGACTCCTATTGGTGGAAGGGGCAAGGGGGAGGCTCCAAATTGCTGTGTGGGGAGATGAAAGGCCAGAGGAGGCAAGGTCAGAAGAAAGGAACCAAGTCAGGTCGAAGAGATAATGGCAAGAGAGGAAGACTGCGTCTGAACCACAGTTCTCTCTGAGCAATGGGAATACCTCTTGCTTTTCACAGAAGTGCTGTTCTTCTTTACATCATGCCTTCGCCATTCACAAGGCATTTTCATACGTATTCATAAACACTGTCTCATTAAAGTGACTTGCCATAAGTCACATGTGGAGGAAATGGCAAGTCTTCTCATACCAAGTCCATCGCTCTTTCCTCTGTGCTGCAACTCAAAATACTCAACTACGATATAAGGTCTTATTATTTTCATAATTGTACAGATGGTATATAGATCATGCAATAGGTAAGAGCCTATATCACAAAGGACAGAAACAAATTGTATCCCCCAACATATTTCAGTGTTACAAAAACAAAATCATCTTTGAAAGTAACTCATTACAAAGCAGTGAAGACTTACGTTTATGTTTCCTTTTACCTCGTCGGAAATGATTAGGTTGTCAATTACATCAAAATTTCGGCCCATGATGGTTATATTTTGACCACCACTGTAAGAAAAAAAAGCAATAATAAGAGTTTCATAGTAAACACACAGGCCTTTGCATTTAGGAACAAAGCTATCAATTTATTCACACTTAAACTAAACTTCGTTATGTTTGAAAGCATTAACAAATCTTAATTTCAAATGCAGAACAATTTTAGAAGTCTTTTTAATGATACTGGCTACAAAGTTATAGTATTTAAAATACATACATATAAAAATTCATGTCAGATCCTGTTACAATTTGGAAGTTCACAAACAGGAAAATTCACAAACTCTTCTATGGAATTTTGAGTTTGTTGTGTCATAGTGCCACATATAATCAGATCATCAGCTGTACCTTGAAAAGATTTCACTAAACAGAATTTTGTTTGATTGCTCCTTAATCTACATGAACATTTTTCAATCTAATAATTTTCAAAATCAAACTCCCAACCTACCAATTATATTCTATATATTAGGGAGACAGAAAACACTTTGGACAAGGTCAAATTACTAATGACATTAAAAGTATATACTATATTCCTATTTGGTAAACCATTTAAATAAGAGCTACATTTTCTCTCTCTGAAGCCAAGTCAAATGATTTCACATACTCTCAGCACATAATCACATAAAAGCAAAGTGGTCATTAGATGTGAAATAAACAGCTGTTCGCAGCTCTGGCTGCCCTCACACCCTCATTCATGTAGGTCACTAGACATTCATTCCAGGGGACAGGAGCCTAGTATGTCGGCTGGGCCCATAATGACAAGACCAGGATGTGGGCACGAGCAGGACAATTTGTGAAGGGCAGAAGAAAGACATTGAGTCCTGAACCTTCCAGCCTCAAGGAGAAAAGGCCGAGCTGGCCTCATGCCAGCCTGTCACCATTACTAGAAAATCAAGCCAAGCGTGGCCCATGGCCAGACTGCAGAGCCATGTTCTTGCCCAGGAGTCGCTGAGAGACACAGACTCAGAATGGACAGCAAGAAACCTCTTATTTTATGGCAAAGTAGAACACTGGTGTCTTAGAGCAGTGGTCCTCAACCTTTTTGGCACCAGGGACTGGTTTCAAGGAAGACAATTTTTCCACAGATGAGACGGGGGGGGGGGGGGGGGGGGGGCGGGGGGTACGGTTTGTGGACAATTCAAGCGCATAACAATCAAGCTCACCTCTTGCTGTGCGGCCCGGTTCCTAACAGGCCTGGACTGGTACCGGCCCATGAAAAGGAGGTCGGGGACCCCTGTCTTAAGAGCACAGCACCCGGGGAACCTCGGGCAAGGCATTTGAACACTCTGTGCCTCAGTTTCTCCATCTGCAAAAGGGGCCACTCATAGTAGAGCCCTTCCGCTTATGAGCATTAACTGAGTCAATAGAAATAATACACCAGGCATGTGGAGAGCACTGCATCAATGTGTGCTTTTATTTATAGGAAAGAATCAGACCCAGAGCAGGGAGTGCCATGCTAGAACCTTGGCTTAGGAATTTCAGTTTTCCTCATGCCACTGCTAAGGGAAGAAGTATTGAAATCCTAATCTCTGGCACCTCCAAATGTGACTACCTTTGGAGACAGGGTCTTTAAACAAGTAACTAAGGTTAAATGAGGTCACTGGGGTAGGCTTGAATCCAGTATGACTGGTGTCCTTATAAGAAGAGGAGATTAGGACACAGATGGGTACAAGAAGAAGACCACGTGAGGACACAGGGAGGAGAAGGCCATCTACAAGCCAAGCAGAGAGGCCTCTGAAAAAACCAATCATGATAGCACCTTGATCTTGGACTTCCAGCTTCCAGAACTTTGATGACATAAATATCTGTTATTGAAGCCTCCCAGTTTGTGATACTTTGATATGGCAACCCCAGCAGCCTAATACGTTCACTTCTCCCTTAGTCTTAAATAAGAATATTACAAGTGATTTTTTTCTTTTGTTTTTTTTTTCTCTTCTCTTTTGCTCTTTTTAAACAAAGCTTAATCTGTAGTTTCATCCAGGCAGTACCTTGAAAATAATACACTCCATACTGTGTTAGGTGAAGAAAATATCCTTAGGGTTATATTCCAAAACCTGAATGTGAATTTAAATTCAACACGGGAGAATTTTTTTTTCTTTCTTGGAGTCTATCTGGAAGTTTATTTTGAAATTTCCATCTCTCACTTAGGGAGTATCTTTGAAATTAGATACTGCTCTTGATTTAGATGGCTCCCCATATTTCCTCAAATTACTCAAACAGCTTACTCTAATGGTTTTAAAACGACAGATATGACAAAGAAGCAGCTTTGTGTCCTGGGCAGAAGGGAGACAACGAGGGTTCAATGTTTGTACCCGAAATCTAGGTCAAGAATAGTTACTGTAACCGAACAAGTATTTTACAAAGTGAAAGATATATACGATTGGAAGAGAAACCAAAGTGTGAACAAGCATTTGGCACTGAGTCTGCTGGCAGCTGTGGCCAAGAGTTAACCGGGATGCGCTCGTGGTGTTCACTGCGACACTGAGGAGCGACCTGTTTGTCCGGGGTGGGTTTGTTTTCCAGGAATAAACCCTAGGAGGCATTCTGTGAGAGGAACTTAGATAGGATTTATTCCTAGATTAATTTGAGTAAAATTCATCATCTTTATGTGTCTGACCTTTTTAACCACACCGAGAGGAAAATATGAATCTAGAAAGTACCTGATCCAGGTGGTAGCTGGATAGAGGAGGGAACAGTGTGGCAGAGCGATATAAGACAAGGACCCCACAGAAGAACAGTTCCCGCCGTCGAACTGGATACATACGTCCTTCATTTCTTTCCGGCTTGATGGCAGAGAGAATTTCATATGGGTGTCATTTAGCACTTGGCTAACCGGTATCCTAGAAAGGAGTGAAAAAGGAACTCTTATATGACACAGACACATAGCTCAGCTGACAACCAAACAACAGTTCATGAACTAGCAGACAGTGCAGACAATTGCTGATTCATTAGGACCATTTATCCCATCAGGGCATATCTGGGGCAGAGTTCCTCTTTGTTTGGTGCATTTGTATGTTTTTATTTGCATTTCCCTTAGAAGCAGGGTAAGAAGGAAATGTAACCATTGTTCTTAAGAAGCCCCAGTAGAAAGCGGAACGTGGACCGGGTATTAAGTTATATTAAGAAATTACTGTTAATTTTGTTGAGTGTGATAATGGCTCCATGAGTATCTGTTAGAGATGCATATTGAAATTTTTTTCTTAATTTTAAAGATTTTATTTATTTTTTAGAGAGAGGGGAAGGGAAGGAGAGAGAGTGAGAAACATCAATCAGTTGCCTCTTGCACGCCCCCAACTAGGGACCTGGCCCACAACCCAGCATGTGCCCTGACTGGGAATCAAACTGGCAACGCTTCAGTTGGCAGGCTGATGCTCAATCCACTGAGCCACACCAGCCAAGGCATACTGAAGTATTTATGAGTGAAAGGATATGATGTCTGGGATAGGCTCTGAAAAACTCCAGCTGCCATTCTTCCTTTCCCTTCAAAAAATAGGGAGAAGACAGATGAAACAAGATTGGCAAATGTTGGTAAGTTTTGAGGCCGGAGGATGGGTACAGAACGGTTCATCTATTCTTCTCTCTTGTGCATGTTTGGAAGTGTCCATAATGAAAAACTTAAGAAAAGAGAAGTCCTAGTCAAGCACTGGGAGGATAAAACCCAACCAAGGCAGAGATGGGAATTCTGCTATACAAAGAGCAGAAGAGCCAGTGACTAAAGTCCACGCCAAGAGCCCAGGCATCTCAGAATCAGTCAGCCGTTAGAGCCAAGCTGCCTACCAAGTTGCTCCAAACTAGAAATCAGCTGGGACTGTCCTGGGGGCTCCTGACATCTGCAGGGTGTTCCCTCATCACCCTGCAGGAGTCAAAGCAAAGGCTTCCACGATGTCGCCTCTGGGACCTGCAGCGTCCTCTGGGCGTGGTGGCTACAACGGCCCTCCGCAGCGCGCATCATTAGAACCAGGCTGTGTCTGAATAATGCTCGGTATAATTATGCTACATGAGCATTTAGTATTACTAATGAATATATGCATGTTATTAACTTGAATGCACAGAGCCTTTAAATTGTAATGATAGATTCACACAGGAAGGCCCATTCAAGAAATACACGAGTCAGTTTGTACTCACACTACTTCAGATTTACATTCTCGCTCTTGGAAATTCATCATAAAATGGCTGATAATTAAAATTCAAACTTGTTTATAAATTTTAGAAGGAAAGAGGTGGAAACGTGGGTTATTCCACTACCATTCTGGTATTTTTGTCTTTTAGAATAATTAGGCTTCTAAAAAATACTATATTAAAAGGGTTTGGGGTTACAGCACAGACTCAGATATAAGATTAACAGGGTATTATGTTTACTTCTCGTGAACTTGGGTTCACCACACAAATGTGGTGAGTGAAATGTTACATGCAGAAAGGTCTCTTACTCATTTAATTTAATAATGGCAGTATCTCAAGACACATTCAGAACTGAAATGAGAGCATAAAGCGTCAGAAACAGGGTAAAGCCCTGAAAAACTACTTCCTTTCCAGTGAAGCTGATTGCCTTTCAGTGAACACACAGGTGTCTAACTTCAGATTTTGTTATACAAAATGAAAGATTTTTGCAATAAGGTATTCAGCCAGGAAAATGGAACAAAAATACCCGTGTCACACAGATACAGCCACTAGTGTGTGCTTGATAATTCTGGTAAATAGCAGAACAGAGGAAAGCCACCGATGGGCAGCTTTCCCCAAAAGATGACAGATATCCCAAATTCACTGCTAGGAAGGGAAGGGGATGGCAGTTATGTGTGGAAAATGAATTAAAACAGAAAATCAATAAATAAGTGTAGCAGATTAAAATGCTGTGCAAATCTGTTTTAGTTAAAAACCAAAACACAACGCTTCCGCAGATTGTCTTCAATGCATTCCCACAATGGGAATAAGCACGCTATTATCCTTCATGTAGACTGCAACATCTTTTATTTCAAATTAGCCAAAACTTACAAAAGCTAACAAGCAGAAAACTCAAATTATCTACAGTGTTGTTATTATTATATCTCTTTTTTTTGGGGGGGGGTAACATTTGTACAAGAATGTCAGTGAGACATTGATATTTTTTCCTCTCTCAAAAGAGTCATTGAAAAGATGAGTTAGGGGAAAAGAAGTCATAGGAATAAGATATTCAAGTGGTACATTGACCAGATTTTTTTGTGTTGGGGTATTTGCTTTTTCTTTCATTTTTTAACACTCATTTATGTTCCATCTGGTTATTATGTGGGCCTAAAACCAATCCAATAAAGAGAAGGTGCTAAAGAATAAAATGAATCAAAAAAGATTTTTTTTAACTTTAGGCAATCCATTGGAAAAGTTGGCAAATTCTCCCATCAAAATCTAAGGTAGTCAACTGTTTTTTTTAAGGAGATCATCTTCAAAGTGATATTTGCTATTCAAAATACTTGCTTTTGTTAATGAAAACAAATCAAGACCCAAAACAGTAAACATCCTGTAATTGTGTACTGAGATTTTTGGGGGGTGGGGGGGTAACATGGGACAGATTCTCTCACAATTAACTTCAAATGTAGTGTATAAGTGATTTTATTTTAAAAAATTATATTATGTCAAATGTGCAGAGTAATTGGTTCACTTTGGCACATGGGAAATAATTTGACTACAGGAAGATTATATTTGGCAGAAGTTTTAGCTTTTCACTATATTACCAAGAATAAGTCACTAATATTTGAACTCACACATCCTTATCACAAGTACTGGTTCCTTTCAGGATCATTATGATGTTATTAGATGCCCGGGTAAAGTTTGCTCCCGTAACTATCACGTTTCTTTTCCCTAAGGTTGATATTTTCTGTGGTTCAATGGACTTAACGTAGAAGACCTGTTGGAAATAAAAATTAAAACACAAGATCAAAGCTAAGAAATGGCATTGTTACAAAAAATCTGTTTATGTGCTGCAGTCCGTAGAAATCACTGGGAAATTACAACATTTTGCAAACACAAGCAGACAGTGTTTAATGAAATCAATGAATTCGAAGAAGAGCGCTGAAGATTCATTTCTTTCAACATGCGACAGCATGAGGTCAAACCAATTAGTCTTTGTCTCACAAGACAGTTGAAAATCCAGTTGAAGAGTCTGACATTCTGTCTGAAGAGTGAAACAGCACTAGAATCTCAAAGACGCTCGCTGCCTTACGGTCCCTGGAGGCTCACAACACAACAAAATGAAGGAGAAGACAAGGAGTCCACTGATCGTTGGCCAAGGACAGACTTATCATTAAGTTAAAATAAATGTCATTTTGGATAAATTTAATTCCCAAGAAGGCAGCTTCTGTCATTTGTTTCAGCTAGACTGTTTGAACCAAGGAGTATACTGTAGGGAAAAAGCTCGAGAAATCAACCTGTCCAGTCATCTGATGCCAAGTAGTTGGATGTTGAAACCACATGGCCAAACGCTGCTTCTCCACAGTCTGCAGATACCACTGTTTCCTCCTTGGTACCCATCATAAGCTTTCTCAGGCCTTTCTTTACCAAGTAAATTTCCCTTGGAATCACCTGATACCTGGCCCCATATTATGCACCTTATTTCTCCATCTGCAATGTCTAATCAAGTTCCCTTAAAAAAAAGACCTTTTTTTAATGGCAAAATCATTTTCCTTTTCAAAGACAGAACAACCCTGATTTCTTTCACTTTTCTCCTATTGATGTTACCATCTATCATTTTCATCACTTTGTGGTTCTTCTGCAGACCATTTCCAGAAAGCCTGTATTCTTCCATAATATGGTAACTAAAACAGGACAGAAAATTCTAAGATTCTGGCCAATACAAATTACAAAAGATCTATAGAGTGAGTGAATCATACTCATGCTCCTATTTGAAAACAACCCCCGAGGCATAATCATGTGAAATCTGGCCGAGGCCTAAACACCAAGCATATCTGCTTGGAGGATAAAGTTTAGGAGGAAGCCTCTTACAGCACTGGGAGTGTTTTAGTCACGTCCAACACGTGCCCACCATGTGCTTCTTGAAGCAGCCTAGCCTATCCTCTGCTCCTCTGTATGTGTGACACTCACCAGGCCAGCCTTGGGGGCTTCTGCTCCTGCCCGTCCCGCTGAGGGATGCTGTATTATCCTGCTCCTTGGCAAACACAGGTGCTGTATGCTAGCGGTCACCGGCATTCATTATCACTATGCATTGGTTTTTCAGATTGAGGTAAATTCACTGTTAATGCCATCACAGCAATGATGTAATGTGACAGAGAATTGATTTCGGTGGCAGAATTTATTTTAATTGCTTAGTAAAGACTTTAGCCCCATATTTATAGAATCATGAAGGGCCTGAAAGGGTCACTTTAATTATTCTGTTATACTTGAGTGCATTTTATGGGGGAAATTAGCTGCAAGAGTGGGCCTTGGAATGGGAGGATTAGCAAAAACTTAAAGATAAATCCCTTGCAAATGTCAAGTGTGTGCAGTATAGCAAAAGGCTTAATCTTGGCTCTGACATCATGACAGCTAAGTGAACAAGTACTTCCTAAACACCTGCAGAGTTCCTAGGATGGCACTAGGTGCTGGGGAGGGGGGCGGGCATGATGTGTGCCCTTCGTCAGAAGTTGGCAAACTACTGAATTTGCCTGTAGCAGCCAAATCCAGTCTATAGCTTGTTTTTAATATGGCCCAGGAAAGATGTCAAAAAAAGAGTAATATTATATGACATGTGACAATAGATGGAACTGAAATTTCAGCGTCCATAAAGAGTCTTTGGAACACAGCCACACCCACTCATTTATGTATCCTCCGTGGCTACTTTCACACTCCAGCAGCAGAGTTAAAGTGCTATAGTAGAGACCCCATAGCTCACAAAGCCTAAAATATTCATTGCTTGGCTCTTTGTGGAAAAAATTTTCCAACTCCTACACCAGAGAGGTCCACGGTCTTCCTAGGGGGACAAGAGAAACTGTGCGTTTGTTTTATGTGAACATCAATGCAGACTCATATTTACTTCCAAGTCAAAGACAATTCCCAGGTTTCTTTCTAGATAGTCCTTTCTGCTTCTTATATTTATATTGCTGATGTCTGTTCAAGCAAATTTTTCAAACATACCAAGTAAATGGTACTTCTCTACTCTCTGCAGAGGATAAAGAGAGCCTTATAACTAACATACACAAGATTTTTAAGGGGGTTACATTTTGTTCCTTAGATGGCTCTACAAACACTATCAGAAGACCTGCCACTTTGCCTTCTCAACTTTATTTTTTGCCCTGAATAGAGATGGCCCTGCTACTTCAAAAGGATTTCACTTTAAAACCTTATTGTTTAGAGAAGTTTCCACTGGTGTCTAGGGTGGAATCCAGCCCTGACCTATTTCATGAAAGCACATGCTTTTAGTCTGCTTTCAAAGAGGGTCAGATTAGTTGTCCTTTGTTTGCTTGAAGAGCCTCTCTTAATCTTAATAAGTGAGTCAAAGAGCTACCAAGAGGACCTCATTAAATAAACAGTGCAGGCATGCGCGCGCGCGCACACACACACACACACACACACAGGTTGGGTAGCTACATGGCTGTGCTATATGACTACAACAATCTTAGAAATATAACATTTTCTATTTTTACTGATAAAGATTTTTAAAATCCAGTATAGACAAAAGGCAAGGAGGAATGCTCTCCCCATAACTGGTCTACATACTTAATATTTTAGATTCATTTTTGTATTTTGATCAAGAGATAATTCGCAATATGACATGAAGTAGTGGACCCCACAAAATTATACAGAGGGCTTGGTTAACTTAAAAACATTGTCTAGCTCGACACAAAAAGGCAGTATCTTAGGCCCCACAGTGAGATTCCTCCCTCTTCCTATGTCCAAGGATTTCCATTTTTCAAATCAAAATATCATAGACTATAACCCTCACAGCCCTATGGTGTCCAGCAGTTAACCTCAGCATAGTCTACTTCCTGTCAGTTACATCTTAAAGACTTTAGAGTTATTTTTAAATGGTTGCACAATAATAAAATAGTATGAGCTCTGGTTGCTCACAAGTTTAAATCACTCCCTGTTTTGTACAAGGTAGCACATCAGAAACTGGTTAACCAGGTGGTCACAGAATATCCAACTATTCATATTTTTTTAAACAAAGTCATTATAAGTTATAGGAAATAGTACAACCACTAAGAAATAGTTATCTTTAAAAAGGTCTAAAAGAGGATTACTCTTGACAGTAAGAGTACACAATTCACATTACCATGACATTAATGGAGAAAGTACTGCTCTGATTGAAAAGAATTTTGGAAAGAGGTACATTAGGAAGGCTCATTTTATGAAGACCAAATTGTACTGTTAAATTGTTTTTAAAAATCTGAATATAGTAAAGCTCTCTATAGGCCTGGACCTGAATCAACACTCAGTAAAATGTCTTTCAGGTTTTCACTCATGAAATTAGTTCAAACAGGACTGGATAAAAGTCACATAGATTCAAAACCAGCTGGAAATCTGAAACCAAAGGACATTAGAGAGATGAAAGGTAGCATAGCTAATTAAAAGAAAGTGTCCTGTAGGGCTCTACAGGGGTGAGGATTTGGCTCAGAATTATTTAACATCTTTATTAATGACTGAGCAGAACAGAAGTAATATATTAATGAAATGTATAAATTGAGAAGAGCATCAACTATCAGCGGAGATGGTAAGCTGTAAAAGGAGGGGAGATATGGAAAGAAAATAGCAAAATACAATCCCGCCAAAGAAAAATCAGAGTGGTAAATGGATCAAAAAGGCTATCCATTTGCTGCTGGGGCTCCTAGTACAGACCCCAGGAACTTGAGATGTAACTTCCAGCTGGTCCCAGGCAATGCCGACTGAGACAGATCTGGAGACTTCTGGGAGAAGGTGACAGACCAAGGCCTGTGCCGAGGGAACAAGGCTCACTTCCCGGATCTGAAACTCTAAGGTGAGGCTGACGTGGGCCACGGCGGGGCGGCCAAGGCCATTGCATAAAGTTGTTACTCTTCGTCACTGAACCTTCCCAGTGTGGCACCTCTGAATTGGACTGGCCAACTGAACTGGCCGACCGGGGCTCCATGACCAGGGAGGGCAGCTCTTCCTGTCCAGCAGAGACCCCTACTTGCAGATTAAACCCAGCCACTCAAAATCCACCCCTCTGCTGGGTTTCTCAGCTTGAGACTCGTGTGGCTCCACCTTCCTAAGGGCCTCAGTTTCCCATCTCAGTCTTAGAGAGGATGCCAGCCTTGCCTGTGTCTGAACCCTTCACTATGACACACCCTAACCTACCCATCTCTTCCGGAGGCTTTGACACCAATGCACTCCGCTCACAGCTGCCCAGGCTGGAGGTCTTTATCCCACCCATCTGTGGCACAGATGGGGCAGGCTTTGACAGCCACATGCCAAATGGGTTCAACTCTCTTGCCTGTCATTTACTTTGTACTTATTCTCTAAATTTGTCTATAAAATGGGCAAAATTTGTCTATAAAAGTGACACTGAGGCTTAAATAAAGAGATACTCTGAGCTTAGGATACAGCATAGACTCAACAAATTGTAGCTATCACTACTCAATTTAGTACATTCTGCCATTCCTTCTTATATTTTTTTTTCTGTTATGCATACTCAACTGCTGCCTGAAAATGAATCTTACTTCCTCCAAAAATTGTACGTTTTACACTGTAAGCTCCCTGAGCGCACACACTTTGCCTGCCTGCCTAGCACACAGTAGGTGTTCAATAAATATATTTTGAATGAATGAATGAATGAATGAATAAAAAATTGGAAGTGAATCTCACAGCATCCAGGACAGTGGTAGGCCCAGAGAAGCTACTTAACGAGGTACATATTAAGTTTAATATCACTTTTAAAGGCAAGGTCCTTGAAAGGGTCAATTTGGGTTGCTTGTGAGAAATTAAAATGCACATTCAAAAGTGAGGGAGAAATAAAAAGAAAGAGGAACAGTTTGAATGTAAACTCCTCAAGAGAAGATGTTCAGCAGGCGGAGTCACCTGATGAAGATTGTTAAGAAAAGGAAAGACAAAAGGTTAGGGGAGGTGACGGGGCCAACTGACTCGGAGCAAGACTGGCCTTCAGAGCTGAAAATGCTTCTCATCCAAAGGCCAAACACTGGGTTTTGAGGTTGTTTTCCTATGTTGGTGATGCTTTCCCTTAATGCAGTCCCCTGGTAAATGACAATGCTTGTTCTTAGGTCAGGGTACAGGGATGGGTTGTAGGTCATGAATCTGTGCGAAAGCATAGGGCCCCAAGTGGGATTGAATCAGAAACCCTATCTCACAAGTACCATGTCCTTGGATGAGCAAATTCATACATTAAAAAAAATTAAATGTCATAAATCAGAACCATGGACACATAAGACTGACTTCTATTGCCACTGAGGAACCAAGTGACAGCTCCTAGGCCTGGCTTGTGAGGCCCTGGATGCAGGCTCCAGGGTCATTTCAAACTGTGTCCCTTAATTTCCAGCAACCTGCTGCTCCAGCCAAATTGAATCGCTTGGGGTTTCCAACAATGAGTGCCCTAAAATTTTCTGGAACCCCCATTATGCTTTTGCTTATGTTAATTCCTCTACTTAAATACCCACTCCTTAGTCTCCATGTGGCTGGAGGCTTCTCATCTGTCCATTAAAGGTCAGCTGAAACGCCATCTCTGTCCATCAATCCATGCATCAATCAAAGACTTAACCAACTCCACTGATTAAGTGTTTTTAACTGCCAGGCATTGGGTTTAAATAAACAGGAATGACTAAGACAAAGCCCCAGGCACAGAGAAGCTCTCCGGGTTTGTGTACTTCCTGGTGCTTTCCCTATGTTAACATTTTTTATCTTGTATTCTTACTAACGTACTCATGTATATGATTCTTGAGACCGATGTCAAGATAGGTGCATGATTACCTATGTCCTCCTCATCGTATCCATGGAGCTCAGTAAAATGGCACCTAATAGGGGCCCCCCAAACAGCTGGAGGAAGAATCAACCAGAGCTCAGCATCATGAAGCTTAAAATTGTATGTGCATCATTCACATCTCACGTCCCCAGGGTCTGGCACATTACTGAGCACTCAGTACACATGTGATGTGGGAAGATGTCTGGAAGGAAAGCTCTCCATGGCTTTTCTGCTAGGAAGACAGGGTTCAGTGTTTTATTCAAGGCCAACATGGAGACCCACCCTGGGACCCTGAGTTTTCCCATTCTACGTGATAATGAAAGACAGCAGCATTTCAGAGAACATGAGAAATTCCTTCTGTGACAAACAGTACTCTGCTCCCTGTCAACCAAAATTGAGGTTCTGTTCTCAGTCATATATTTAAAGACAACAATTCAGTATCAACAAAACGTCTCTCTCCAAACTAAGAAAGGTCATCCATGGGGAAGCGCTGATGATAGGTAGGTCTGGGTTTTGTTTATTCCCCCTCCTGCTCTCTTGGTGACCCCAGGTCTTCTTACCACACAGTATCAAGGTCAAAAGATACAGGAAGACAGTACAGGTAACCAGGATTCGATGACTTTATTTTTTTCCCTTTAAAATAAATGAAATTTAAAGGCCATTTCCTGGACCATTGCTCAGCAATAAAAAGGACCAAACTATTGATTCATAAAGGAACTTGGATGAATTTTCAGAGAATTATGCTGAGTTAAAAAGGCCGATCCCCAAAGGATACATCTGGGTGATTCCACTTACTATATGACAACATCATGGAAATGGAACAGATCAGTGCTTGCCAGGGGTTAGAAATGGGGAGTGGAAAGGTGGAAGGAAGTGGGTGTGGCCATAAACAGCCAGCATGGGGTAGCAGAGCGGCTCTGTATCTTGACTGTTGTCACTCTCAATATCCTGCCAGTGATGTTGTGCTATAGTTTTGCAAGACGTTAGTTACTATTGGAGTAATCTGGGTAAAAGATATATGAGATCTCTCTCTATTATCTTCTTACACCTACATGTGAACCTACAATGATCTAAACAAAAGTTTAATTTTTTCCAAAACAATCTTGAAAAAGACTAAGTTGGAGGACTCCCACCTTCTGGTTTCAAAACTTATTACAAAGTTTTATACCCAAAACAGTGTGTTATGGGTATAAAGGTAGACATATAGACCAATGGAATAGACAGCCCAGAAATAAATTATCATATGTATAGTCAAATGATTTTCAACAGGGAAACAAGACCAGTCAATGGGAAACAAACAGTCTCTCAAAAAAATGGTGCTGGGAAAACTGGATATCCACCTGCAAAAGAATAAAGCTGGACTCTTTCCTTACATCATATACAAAAATTAACTCAAAATGGATCAGAGCCCTAAATCTAAGAGTTAAAACTGTAAAGCTCTTAGAAGAAAATGTGGAGGGAAGCTTAATAAAACTGGATTTGGGAACGATCTCTTGGATATGATATCCAAAGCACAGGCAACAAAAGAAAAATATGTAAATTGGATTTCATCATTAAATTAAAAACTTCTGTGCAAAAGATATAGTCAAGAGAATGAGAAGGCAACCTTTAGAATGGAAAAAAATATTTGCAAATCATGTATCTGATAGGGGGTTGATATCCAGACCGTACAACAAACTCCCACAGTAACAAAACACAGTAACAACAATATGCCAACATGTGGAAACAACTCAAATGCCCATCCACAGATGAGTGGATAAACAAAATGTAGTATATCCATACAATAGAATATTATTCGGTCTTTAAAAAGGAAAGAAATTCTGAACATTCTGCAAAATGCATGAACCTTGAGGACATGATGTTAAGTGAAATAAGCCAAAAGACAAATCTTGCATGACTCCACCTTTATGAAGTACCTAGGGCAATAAAACTCAGAGTAGAATAATGGTGGTTGCCAGGGTCTGGGGAGAAGGCAAGATGGGAGTTATTGTTTAGTAAGTACAGAGCTTCAGTTTTGCAAGATAAAAAAAATGTGTCTGGCAGTGGATGGTGGTGACAGTTATATAACAGTGTAAATGTACTTAACACTATTAGCTACACACTCACAAAAGATGGTAAAGATGCTAAATTTTTATTTATGTGTACTTCACCAAAATTTAAAACTGAAATAACAATAAGATATGTCTAATTTTTTTTTAAAAGTCACTGCCTCCTTAATCCAAGTTTCTGTCACTGTGCCTTAGTTTTATAAATCAGTGGGACGAGAAAGGTCCATCACTTAATAAGCCCAAAGATTAATAAAACCTCAAAGATTTCTAAAGTCTGAAATATTGGCACACCAAGCTTTTCTAATGCCTTTAATTACTTTCATAATCCATTTTGATTCACATTCCCTTTGCCTGTTACTTAATTTACCTAAAGTTACTATCAACTTTTCAGTAGTCATTAAAAGTGTGCTACTTATTTATATTGGCATTTGACCTTAAATAGCAGCCAATGGATAAATCAAAGCCACAGATCAGTCATGACACGGAAAACTGAGCCTTTAAAAAAAGGATGTTGTTCTTTCGTTGTTCCATTTATCCCTACTAGACCCCAAGGTTAATAAGAACAGGGATTTGTCCTTTTTTTGTTTTTCACCACCCAGCAGATGCTCAGTTAACTTCTGTCATCTCTCCGAAGCCAGCACCTCTCTGCTCGCTGCACACACGCCCAGTGTCTGCCTGAAAATGTTTACCTCGTCACTTCCTCTCTTTCGAAACACGTCTGTTAGTGGAGCTTGCTGATCTACTATGAAGAAAATAAGAGGAATTTCCAAGGGAATTTCATGGAAAATAACCGTTTCTGAGAAGCAGAGAGCAAGGTACATACATTGTGTAAAAACAGCTCTTTTATTGGAGTTATACACTACTGGTTAGATTGTCTCCACAAAGTAAAGGTAAGCAATCCGAACCGTTGTTAGTGTGTGTACTTAGCGCACTCTCCCTCGCAAGGAGTCCCCAGGAACGCGGCCATAAAAGGGGGTTCGAATTGAACTCCCCTCAGTGCTGTGTGTCACATTCTTCCTTCTAACTCTCCCCAAGTGAGCTACAAAGTCATCTTTAAAATCTTCCTCCTCCCGGAACAATACTTTTCACAGTTACAGAGCTTTAATTTCTTTTACGTGAGTGTGCACTCTTTGAGGTACTGAGCCAATTAAACGACTCTTGGTTTAAAAACCAAAGGTGAAAAAGGGAATTTTGGTCGAAAGTAAAAAAAGGGAATTTCAAAAAGGAACCCAAAGTGGTAGTTGTTACTGTTACTTAAAGGGGAATTTTTCCGATATCAACACAAAACCCGGGTCTGACCTGGGAGCCCTGGTGGGTTCTGTTACTCTTCCCCGCAAACCCTCCGACTCCGGTTGTTTTGGATGGTGCCGGCCTCTCAACCGCAACTTGACAAGGTTCCTGAAATGAAGAACATCCCTTCAACATCCACACAGGTGGGAAATTCAGAGTTTGAAATAAACACCAAAGATAGGCTGGGAGGTTGCAAACATTGCTTTTGGTTACATCTTGTGATACCAAAAGTGTCACTTTACCTGGTTTCCGTAGTAATCAGAAGGGCTGCACGCTGTGAATGGGTGGATACACTTTCTCTCACTTTTACACCAAGCACAGTCTGTTCCAATACACACGGGGCATCTGGCAACATGGAAAACCAACTTAATTCCTACAGTTTTAGAAAAATCTCCATATCCTAGAATTTCCCTCTGTGAGATGACCACATGTGAGCATTTAAAGAAAAAAAAATCCCTAAACAAACTGTGATGACAGTCCTTTGAGGCTGGGGACAGAGCCCTGACTTTGTACCCCGCGGGCTTCGGGCAGCCTTCAGGCTGATTGACTGTCATTACACCTGCAGGGGCGTTGCCATGGAAACCTGAAGCTGGGGTTGCTGGCCTGGCAGGTACACAACAGGAACCCGCTGAATCTGTTTCTGAATCTACTTCTGCTATTCGTCTACCCTCAGGTAAGTTTCCCTCTGGAGAGTGGTCTCTCCCTCCCCACCCCTCCCCCATATCAGCAATAACACCACCAACTGCCCAACAGAAGTAAGGCCAGAAGTGTCACCTGGCAAGCAGAGGGAATGGGATGCCATTGTTTGCTTTTTAACCACACTGAGGGAGAATTGTGTCTACTAATCAAATGATCTATCCTGCTTGGATAACGGCGGAAGGCTTGAAAAGCACTTACAGGATTATCGGAGTTAAAGGCCCACAAATACAGAAATAGAGGTTGGTCTGGAAGCAGCCATGGGAGGCCGAAGGAAGGCTCCGCCTGGGGACAGTGAAAGGACTAGTGCAGGCAAAGGGGACACTATTCATGTTTTATGTAGTCTTCAAGAAATGCCGAAGCATTATGAGATTCTGACCTATAGCGAATACAGTTTGCAAGGAAGAAGAAAACCCTGGCTCAGTGTTTCTCTCGCCACCTAAGTGCACTGGAAGCAGGTTTGTGATTTGCATTCCTATTCTCACCACTCCCTCCCACCGTATGGCTGCTGTACTTCGCTTTTCTAAGGGAAACAGGTACCCAGGGAAAGGGTGCTCCCCCTCTGGGAAGCTGCGGGTCTGAGGTCAGGTGGCCTGCTAATCACCCAGCTATGGGACCTGGGGCGAGGCACTGCCTTTGTCTGACCTCCACCACAGGCGGGGGTTGAGAGCTGCCATTATGTTTCAATTCTCTCTGAGCCATAAAATTCTATTTAACTCTACCCCTTTTTTCCTGTTTTCATGGACTTCTCAGGCTTTTTGTATCAAGTTTGTTTTGTTTTTTTTCACTCCCTAAATTCATTCTGTTTATTAGAGATAACTGAACTGCATCCTGCAAGGGTAAAGATAAGTTCCAGGGGCCCCTGTCCTAATAGCTATAGAGTGGCCTCCCAATTCAGTTTCCAGTTTGAATTCATTTTCCCCAGAGAAACAATGGTTCCCAGGCCAAGCCAAAAAGAGTTCACATTTGGTACTCACAGAGCTGGTCAATCAAACCACTGAATGAACTATAGAATCACTAATAATAGAGCTTCCCATTGTTTCCATGGGAACCTCCACCCCACCTTCCAACTAGCAAATCAGGAATCTGAGAAACATATTTCCTCTGTCTTCTCTTTGCTTTATAAGCAAGGAGTGAGGCTGTGGTCCTGACTCACAGGATTACATAGCTCATTAGGGTCAAATGTGGTTTTAAAAAAGAGATGGGGGGCACAATTAACATGTTCTTTTCTAAATTAAATTTATTGGGATGATATTGTATAAGTTTCAAGTGTACAATTCTATGATACATCATCTGTATGTTGCATTGTGTGTTCACCACCCAAAGTCTAGTTTCCCCCATCATCATATATTTGACCCCTTTTACCCACTTCATTCTCCCCCCACCTCCATACCCCCTGGTAACCACCATATTGTTGTCTGCTTTTATGGGTTTAACAAGTTCTTTGATGAAACAGACTTCATCTTGTCCTCCGTGAGTATGATTTCCCCTTATCTCCTGCTCACACCCTCTTTCTGGACCCAAATCCCCAAAGTCATTCTGATCAGGGGAGAAGCTAGCAGCACCCCTTTTACTGTTACTTCAAGGCCACCTTCCTGTCTTGGGCAAATGTACTTCCCTCTTGGTAGAAACACTTCTGCACAGCTGTGTGCTGCTTAGCTGCTCCGCCTTACTTATTAGGGCTTGAACGAGCAGGCTTATGAGCTCAGGGGCCCTCCCATCTCCCGTTAGGCCACGCTCCAAAAGGCACTTTGGAAAGTTCTATTTCACAAAAGAGTTCTTTAGGAAGTCGAGGAGTAAAGCAAATAAATAAATTAAAGCCAATGAGAGAATATTTAGACTTCAAATAAAATCTTACTCTCTTAATGATGAGCAGTTGGTAAAGTTGAATCTTTTTGATAAATGCCAAGAACCGAAGGAGAACGTCACGTTGACAACTAAAACATCTGGAGCAAAGGGGGGAAAAAAAGTCATTTACGGTGGAGTCCTGCTATCATCAAGCAAAGCTGTAAATGCAAAAAGTAAATATTTTGTCTCCTCTGCAAGGGTGGAGGGAGGCCAGCTGCTCACTCACATTCAGTCAGTATGGGGTTCCTTCCTGTGGGCCATGCACATCAGGCAGCCAGAACACATCGCACAGGGCTCGAGACAGACCCCGGCCCACCTCACGCTCCGGGCCTCCCATGGATAATCACTAGGAAAAAGCCATTTTCCAGCCCATTTACATCTCATACTCTCCCCGGGATCAGTATCTCAACTTGTAATTGGCCACAGCATAAGAATAAAACAAGTCACTGAGCAAGAAGTGCCTAGAACATGAGAATCAGAATGTGAGGGGGGAAATCGTGCACCATCAGAAAAATCTGCACTACAAATATTTACCTAACAAACTCTAAAGTGTGGCTCCCAGGAGCTGGGATCCATGATCTTCTTGGAGTCAACTGTCGCCAACTCTGTGGTGCAAGTTTTCTTATCAAATGTTTGAAAACCTACCTATTGGTTAGAAAACCTCCAAAGAATAAAGTCAGAAAGATAAACACTGTGCTAAGTCAGCATTAGAAAAATGTCCTGTTTCCTGTGCCTCTTTAAAACTTACTTGGTGCCCTATCCAAGATGCATCCCAAACCTAGCTGTCTATCAAAATCACTTGAGAAGTTGATGAAAATGCAGATTCCAAAGCCACGCTCCTAGGTAGTCTGACTTGGCAGACCTGGGATAAGGCCGGGAATCTGAGGTGTGAAATGTTGCCCACAGAATGATGGTCTATAGCCAGGTCTGGGTGCCTTTTGCGCGGGTTGTGACCAGGGACCGGTGCTACTCTGGGATGTGTTCACTGTCACCCATTTTGGTATTAATATCTTCCTCCTTTAATAAATTAATGGTGCTAGTAGATGATGATATTTTTTAAATAACAGAATAAGAAGTTGGCCTTTGTAGGCCCCTCTAATTTTCTTACTGGAAAGTTAGTAGTGCATGGTTTCAAAAGTCTGAGAATCCTGACTTTAAGTTGCTTCTCTAGAGCAACAAAATTCATGCTGAAAGCCAGGATGCCCCATAAAATTCTGCTCACATACAATAGGTCTGTGTAAAATGATAATCCTCTGTTCTAAGACAGGAGGTTTGGAGGGCTGGCGTGACCTCTCAGCAAGAGCATTGGAACAGACACTTGCTAAGCGTTAGTAGAGCGAACGCATGGACATTTCTCACCGAGGCCCACCCAGTGAGAATACATGTCGAGGGAATCTACAAGTGTCCAGTGATGAAGACTGGCAAAAGTCACACTTTGTTGAGTATCAACTGTGCACAGAAAAATACTAGGAAATATCACAGGGAAGTAAATGATCTCTGCTCTCAAGGCATTTACAGTTATTCTGGAAGAGATAAAATAGTGTAGGTAAAAAAAGCACCACAATGAGAGCGGTCAAGGGAACACCCTAGGAGTGGTCTGCAGCCCATGTAGCACCTGGGGTGCCTGCGGAAGGCCAACGGGGTGCTGGAATGATCAGAACAGTTAGAGCAGAATCCATAAGAGCTGTATGAAGAGGTGACTTTTTCCCCAGTATTTCAAAGCAGAAGCGCAATAGGATTTGGTGAGAGGGGTGAAGTTTCTCTAGGCCAACAGTTTGGCAACGGCCATTGGCTGACTGAGAGCAAGAGGTGGGAAGTGAGTTTGCCTGCTCAGAATATGTGAGGCATTCAGAAAAGGGCAGGCAGAGGGTTGAGTGCAATTGATGGAGGCTCTAAAAGCAACCAGCTAGCTTTACAAGGTAATCGCAAAAACTTCAGAAGCATATTTTATAGGTGAGCAAGATCTGCATTTTAATGACCAACATTAACTAGAAACACATCACAAAGGCAGTATAGTATGGACATAGAAAAGTGGAAAACAGAAATAATTTTTCAAGCAATTTGGATGCAATCAGCCACCATGAGCCCAATAGCTGAGAGGCATTTTTGAAGCTTGGCTCTCCGGCCTGGTGCATTCAATTCCCTTTTGAGGGATTTAGAGTTAATTAGATAACACCAACTCTCGCCACAAAACTCAACTTCATTATAATCTTCACCCATTCTAGGAAGACTGAACCATGAACTTGACTCCACTTCCAGTCTCTCTCACCCAAAGGGACTCATGAATTCTCTGTTGAAACTGCTAGCCATTTCTGGAATCCTTCCACTCCTCTCCATCCCGGCTGCCTCTATCTCAGCTCTCACTGCCTGCCTCACCCGGACCTTGGCAACAACAGCCTTCCTTCCATCTGATCTTTCAGAACTCAGTCTTTTCTTCCTCTAGCTCATTCTCCACCTGTGGCCATCCATTCATTCAAGCAACAAAAAACTATTGATTGCAAATGGCTAGTTTTGTGCCAGACACTTCGTGCCGTCTTTGGTATCCATTTTTATCACTTCGCTTTCCCCCTGTCCCTACCCCATTTGCCTTAGCTATACGGAACTTCTTTTGGCTCCTCAAACAATGTTTTCTCTCCCCTGGCCATCACACTAGTGAGTTTCTTCTTGGAATACTCTTCCCCTCTTTGGCTGGCTCCACTCTATTCATTCTCCAGGAAGCTTTCCTTGCCCCCCTGCCACCCCCAAGTGCAGTAAGGCATCCTTTTCACATGCTTGCCATGGTACGCTCTAGTCCCTGTATGCACACACTTCTTGCAGCGAGCTGTTTACTTGTCTCTACCCCTCAAATAGGCTATAAACACCATGACCAAGGGCCGGGTCAGCCTTTTGGGGTTACTGTATCCCTAGCGTCGAGCACAGTACCTGGCACGTAGCGGTTGTTCAATATACACTTCTTGTATGAATGAATGAATGCAAGGAACTTAAGATGATAGAACAGTAGTCACTCTTATTTTCTCTTCTCCGCAAGGACATTCCAACTCTTCAGGTGTCTGAATTCTCTGAACCATTCGGGTAGGATCAGCCCCCCATGGTCTCAGGCTTTACTCCACTCACCAATCCAATTTACCATCCTCTAATTCTCAGTCACATTTGAGGGTGGGGTATTGCAGTCATGGGAGAGGTAGGGCAGAGGTGAGCAGGACTGAGAGAGAAAGCAGGAAGCAGGAGGTAGGGAGAGACCCAGTCTATAGCATGGGACTATTCGGATATTTTTGTCATTTAATTTGCTGTCTGGGCAATCTGAACTCGAGAGGTTCTCTTGCTTTTTTCACTTTCTGACAAAAAGCAGCAAAGAGTCCACTTGCCTTTGTAGGATGCTCTGGTCAGGATGTTGCAGGTGCAGGTCTCGTTCGGCCGGCTTTCCCCCTTGCAGAGCTCCCTGCCAGTGTCCACGTTCCTCACCACACACCCTGAGTGTCTGGGAGGGACGCTTCCCACCAAAGTCACCGCAGTCTGTGTGGGGAAGAAGATGATTTAGGAACCAAATCATTGTTTTTGCCTCATTTCCATCCATTCTAGAGCCTTACGTGAACTCACCCTTTGACCTGCCACAGAAGAACTCCTCAGGTTGCCGATGTAAAGAAAGATGTTTTATTGTTTATTTGGTTTGCCTTTTTGTGAATCACATACTCAATTCTTGGGCTGCTTTTATTCTTTTGTGTATTTTTCTGATCAATTTTTAAGAGCTGTCTATATAGTATAGAAATTAATCCTTATCTGTCATATTACTGACAAATATTTTCTCCTAATGTAAACTGTTTTTCTTGTTACACGTGTGATATCTTTTACTTTACAGAACATGCTTTTATATAATCAAACAAAGGTTCCTTGTCTTGACTATAAAGTTCTTCCCAAACCCTTGCTTATAGGCAAATATAAAGCTGTCTCACCACCTTTAAAACATATCTTTAATCCATCTGGAATTTACTTTTATATATTGTGTGAGATAAGGGTCCAATTTTATTCTTATTCAGATGGTTAATCAGCTGTATCACAGCAATTTACAAAACAAAACAAAGAAACTCTTTTGCCCACTGAACTGAAATAACCATTTTCGTCATATATGATGTTACCATAGATCTAGAATCTATTTCTGAACTCTGCTCTGTTCTAATTATCTATTGATCTACTCTATTCCAATGTCATCAAGTTTTTACTACTGTGACTTTAAATATATTTACTGTCTGATAAGTATATTTACTATCCTTATCTTCATAAGCATTTCTCTTAGCATTTACTAGATACTATTCTTCCCTATAGTGTTGAAGATCATTTTGTCCAAAGGGAGTTAAGAGACTGAGTCTAACTGGAATTGTACTATAAACATATACATTAATTTTTAGGAGAATTTATATCTTCATGATATTCCGTATTCCCATGCAAACATATGATTTTTTTTTCATTTGTTTCTCTTTGGTCCAGGGTTCATTTAAGGGAGTGTACCTTGATTTCCCAGGTGTCAGCTTTGTATTTCTTATTGCTAATTGCTAATAGTAGTTTGTGGTTAAAGAAAGTGGTCTATGAAATCTGCTTTTAAAGTTATTTAAGATTTTGTTTGTGGTCCAATATATGATCAAATTTGGAGGTGGTGGCTATTGGTGTGTGTATGTGTGTAAACAAGGGGACACAAAAATAAAATCTTGAAATTTTCTATACAGCAACTTTCCCTCCAGTGTATTAATTAAAGGAACAAGGCTCAGTTCTCATGTTGGAAAGGAAAATTAAAGGAATTAATACACCAATGGTGGGCCCCTTTGTATCGTATGCAGGAAGGGGATCTGGTGGGAAGGCAGGCTAATTATTAGGAAGCTGGGGGCAGAAAAAGTGTTAGCTCCGTGACGGGGATGAAGAGCTGTCATCCCAGACAACCCGGGAGGTGCCCATCTTCCATCATACTTCTGACCTCTGCCAACTTCCTGCTCGGGCTACCTAAGATTCTGTCTTTTGTCGTCTAATGAGCTTGCTAAGTTGATTCTAGCCCAGGAGTCAATCCCATCTTTCCATTTTCAAAGAATTCTGTTTCTGGGACATTCAATCATGCTGGAAGAAGGCAAGTTCTTACAGTCCAACCAGGAGGAATCGAAGTCCAACCATGTCTAGGGAGTTGAGGCTACTAACATACCCCAAACCAATCCCACCAGCTCATCTTCAACAAGTGGCTAAGCTCTCATCCACCTGCCTTCTGCAACCCAGCATTCATATCTGTACCACACATCTTAGCACATGATCATATCACATATCATCTTGTGTACATACATGACTTACATGTATTTTGCTATTCAAACATAATGAAAGTATCAGAAAGTTTATTTAAATCTTATTTTTACCATCTGTTTTAAATTTTCCACATTTCCTTCTAGTTCTCACATACGTGATTTTAACGTAACTGTAATTATTGCACTTATTTATTCTACATTTATCAAGCTCTTTAACACGTATCAAGAGCTGCACAAAGTACTGAACACTTCAGTGAACCAAACAGCTATAGTTTTTGCCCTCAAATAACTTATAGTCTAATAGAAGCATGGAAAAGTCCACTAAACTAAAACTAGACCAGTTTTAGGGCCACAGAGTATTAAGAGATCATTAAGAAATGACAGAAGCCTGGGCTGTGACGGTACAGTGGAAATGAGAAAAAAATGAACGGATCAAGATGCCCTTTAGAGGTAGCACCTGGCATGACTGGAAATGGTGTGTGTGGAATGAAGAATTCGGGTGAGCAAATGGATGGATAGAGGTACGATGTACTAAGATGGGACACAGAGGGAGGCCAACTTTGGGTAGAAAACTCCAGATTTCAATTTTGGATGTGTTTAGTTCAGGATCCTTGTATGATAATCAAGAGGATATGGGCCTGGAGCTTGGAGGCACAACCTGGGGTGGATATAAAGGAGACATGAAAAGGTAAGATTGTCTGTGGATAAAGTAGAGAGACACAAGAGAGAAAGAACCAAACAACTCTAGTATTTCAAGGTAGGGAGAGAAGGAGCCAGAGAGGCAGGCCAAGGAGAAGAGAGCATGGAGAGCGTGTGCAATGGAAGAGAGGGTTTCAAGAATCTGGCCAGTTCTCCGGGTGAGATGAGGACTCCCAGCATCTGTTGGAATGGCTACATGGAGCTCACTGATGACTTCAGCGAGAACAGTTTCTGGGGAACAGTAAGGCAAAAGCCAGTTTGTGGTGATCTGAAAAAAGGAGATAGCAAGGTTTTTTCAAGTGCAGTGGATGGAGAGGTTAGCCAGGAAGTTGAAGGTATTTTTGTATAATCTGGGGTTCCAGGTGAGTATGATTAAAAAGCTGAAGCGTTGGCTTAATAAATCCAACATGGGAATCCTTGGCAGGTTGATAGGTCGTTCTTGAACTATGCTGGATAAAGAGAAAATGAAGGCACAAAGGATCAAAGATAGTTTGAGTGTCAATTAGTTGATAATGTCCATGGGGGCAAAAAACATTCTACCAGGCCAACCAACATGGCTTATTTTACTTAACCATTTCCCTGATTGCCAAATAGTTCTGTTATTTCCAGGTTTCTAATTCTATGAATGCTACTGCAATAGCCTCTGTATGCTTCTGGATGTTCCTCTTTCAAGTTAATTCTTCAGAATTCTAAGCCTGGAACGTTGCTTCAAAGAATGAATATATTTATGACTTTTAAAACATATTGCCAAACTGCTTTTCAAAAAGATTGTGCTCATTGGCATTGCCATTTGTATTTATTTGATAACTGGTGAAGCTGAACATATTGCTATATCTATGGCAAACTCTCTAAACCTCTTCTGGTGAAAATATATGCTTTGTCCAACTTTTCTGTGTCCTGACGCTTTTCTTTTTAATTTCTCCTAGCTTTATTTAATACCTTGTGATTAATATTTTGCCTATTGAAAATGTTTCCTAAAGTGTGTGCTTTAGTTATTTCTTTTGTTGTTGTTGTATAGATTTTTTAAAAGTATGTGTATTTTTTTTGTTACTGCATACTTTATTGCTTCAAAGCTAAGAAAATTACACTCCTGAATTATCTGATGCTCGATTCTATTTTCTGTTAGTTTTTCTGTGTCAGCTTTTCATATGAATTTCTTAATTAGCCTAAATTTTGTTTTTGTATTTAATATAAAATGTTAATTGAATTACAGTTCCATATTGTAAGCCAGTTGGCTTAGCACCTTTCAAAAAATAATTATTTTGTTTTCTTTTATGGCACTTGATCTTTAAAATTTTTAAATCTATTTCTCAGCTTTTTACTCTATTTCATGTAATAGAGTAAAAAGTATTTTCCTGTTTTTATACCAGAATCATGGGCTGAATTATTGTCACTATATATGTTTACAATCATATGGAAATGGTCTTGCTTAAATAATTTTCTTTTTTCAAAATATATTTTGGATATTCTTGAGAAGTTCATATTATTCCAGATGAATTTATATTAATTTTAAGACAAGTCTATTCAAATTTCACTGGGATTACATGAAATCTAGAAAACAGATTGAGGAAGATGTGACATTTTTATGCTATCTTCCCGCCAAGAAACAGTATGTGTCTGGATATATATCAAGATGTTTTCTATATCTTCCAAGAAAATACCTTGTATGTTTTTGCTCTTATTTTTATTTATACTTATGCTTTTAATTGATAAGGTTTCCCTATCATGAATTATAAATAGCCTCAATAGACCATTGCCCCACATTCTAAATACTATTTTTAAAAATCACTTAAGACAAGCTGTTATAAAGCCAAAATTACTATTTTTGGTAGTTGTCTTCAACATGCATCTCCTTGTAAAAATAATTTTAAATATAGGGTATATACCTTGGTCTTTAAGGTTATAACTGAATATTTCTGTTGTTTTAATGGATGGAATCTTTTATTAATGGACATTTGACAATTTGTTTTATTTCACATGTAAGGTTATTGATATTTAAATACTTGTTGAACACTTAGCACTTCATTTTACTTTTATTAATTTAAATAGTTATCAAAGATAATGTGTTTAGATTTTGCAGATATACAGCCACTTAAGAGTGGCAAATAATGACATTTTTGTCTATTCCATTACAATAATTATTTCTATTACTTTTTTCTTGTATTAATGAATTGGACAGAACTTGAAAAATAGTGTCAACTGTATCAGTGATGGCGAAATTTCTTGTTTTCATTCCGATTTGTAAAAGAAGGTTTCTAGTGGCTCTCTATTAGAAACCATGCTGTTTGTGGGAAACACTTCATTTCTACATCTTTTCACTTGTTTTTTATCAGTATAAGCCATTTTTACTGAATGTTAACATCTCCTTGTGGGTATGCACAAACATCATTTTACATAATGCAAAAACAAGATGTGCCATACATCCTTTTTTATGTCTGTGTCTGCAAGGATTTCATTTTTCTTTCTTTCTTTTAACTTATCCATGTCTTCCCTCTCCACCACTTCAGTCATGTCATCATCAGGGAAGCCCATATTTACAATCTAGTAATGAATTCTTCCATATTTTTCTCAAATAACCATATAGAGGCATATACACATTAACTTCTACAAGGACTTTTTTTGATCAATACAAGATCATGCTACACATACTTTTCAGCATCTTGCTGTTTTCACTCAACACCACCTCATGGAAATCCCTCCAAGATAACTGGAATTGCTCTAATATTTATTTTTAATGTCAATTTCTTAATAAGGATGACAATAACTATCTTCTAATTGTTTTGTGTAAAGAGATGAAGCTTCTTGGGAACAGAGTCTCTGAATTATATGGGGTTTTTCTGTACCTAGGAAGTTACTAGAATGTTATGAGGCATGTGATGGACAGTTTGTGAACACTCCATGAAGGGAGCTAGTATGTAGAATTGAGGAAAACCATGGACCACCATCTCTGTAGGTCAGGATAAGGTAGTATTTAAATAAACAAAGATCTGAGACTTTGAGATAAGTCATAAATGACCACAGGACAGAGATATTTTTGAAATATTATGACCAAAAGATGCAGTCAAATGTCCTATCAACCCTGTTAAAATAATCAGCCCAGAGTTGGTTTCAGAGACTGGCTTTACTCAAATTACTAAATTCTTATCTCCTTTACCATGAGAGTGATGATCAGCTGGAGAGATTGAGGTAATGGTTGTGTGGGAAGACTCTAGAGGGATTAGGGTAAACCACAGTGGGACTCGAGGTAGGGAGGAACGTCCTGGTGGTTGTTTGGGTGGTAAATATTTTTTGTATGTTCCAGACCAAATATAAATGGTGATTGATTTATACTAGTGAACCCAAAGATAGGTAAACAAATTATGTAAGCAGTACTTTTTATTTAATAAACAAGTTACTCTCCCTCACTTCATTCAGCTGAATTCTTACCCTTACAATTTTCAGGATGATAGAAGAAAAAAATCTGCATCTTAACCACTTATCAGGATCCTGGGTAAAGTCAAGGATCATGGTATTTTCTATCACTGTCTATCAGCAACAAAGATTTTTCAGACTGATAAGATGTTGGGAAACGCCCAGCCTGGCTTCAGGGACTGTAGCCTCACTGATAATTGAGAGAGCCCTAAGGCTGGAAATAATCAAGGAGGCCTTGGGAAAACAGGCCACTGAAGAGACGAAACCTGTCCCCCTGGCAGGGGCACAGCCCCTGCCTCCCTGACATCACCCTGCTTGGCCCTGTGATGGTCGGTTGTTGATGACGAGTAAGGTCTCTTCCGAGGAGAGAAGACCTAAGATAGACATCAGCCAGTATGGGCAGTGGGACAAGGACTTGGGGGACAAGGAGAAAGGGCAAGAAGGTCCACACCCCTCGGCTCGGCTTAGATATGGCCAGAGTCCTCACTCTATCTGAAAGAAATTTTATCTCTTAGTGGCTCTGCCCCACCTGCCTGGCTCAGGCTTCAAACAATACTAAAGGCAGGTACAGCCCTAAACTGGATCTGGCAGTTCCTGGGTACAATCAGGCCTAGAAGTAAGTTCCTCGAAGCTTGCTTTGTTCTTCCCTCATAAGCTATGATAACCGGCTTATACTGGGAAGGAGATTTACATTATTCATAGATCTTGACCTGAGGCAGATCTCTGGTGTTCCTCAACATTTTGACATTGTCAACCTTTTCACATTTTAACTTATCCATGTCTTCCCTCTTTTGACAATGTCTTCTGACATTTTGACAGCCTTTTGACATTGATTGTAGAGCTTTGCATCCATACCCGACACCCCCCGTGCATATGGTTCTCAATAAAGGCCTTTGGACATGGGGGTTCAGGACCTCCTCCACTACAGGGAAGTTGCCATGTCCCCTCTCCTGGCAAACATGATGCGTGCTTATTCCCCCCACCCATGACAACCCCAGGACGGGCTTTGCGGGATTCAGAGCCCCGCTCCCTCCTCAGCTGGCTCCAGACAGTAACCCTCAGATCCAGGAGCACTCACACCCTGTGCTCCCCGCAACACATCGCCCCCCGCAACAATAAGAGAAACAAATATTAGGTCATACCTATGCTTAGATGCCTAAGCACCTTTGTTACAGAATTTGTTCACTCAGTCCTGCTTGAATGAAGGCTTTGAAAGTTCTTTTTTTACACACCTCCCAGGAAGACAACAGAAAGAGGCAACCACCAAAAAACCTTATATCCTTCAGTTCTGATCAGTTATGACTTCAAAGCTTGATCCTTTTATTATTTATCACTCATTAAATGCTCTGACTCTCTTTTATTAAGAGTTAAATCATCTTAAGTGGTATGGTTCTTGACATTTGAAATGGCAAAGTGTAAGAGAAAAAAGAAAGTGGCCCATTTCCTTGTTAATGTGACATTCAAATAAAACAGAGGGACCTCAACAGGCAGGTCAACTGGCTGTTGATGGGGATTCTGTACAATTATTCATAATACAAGAGCCATAATTAGGGAGAAAATGTCTCCTTACAGCACTGCTGAAGTAGCAATAGGACATGGTTGATGTGGGAATCAGAAAATGCTTGAATATACTCATTTCTTCCTTTCTCCCCTCCAGTGACAGGGCTGATTGGCAGTTCTGCCGAGGCAAGAGCCCACTGGGTTCTTTCCAAGGGACCCGGCTTGCAATGTTCACTGCCCACATTGGTTTCTCTCCCCACTGTCAATACTGATTGAAGCCATGTTCATAAAAGAGATGTTAGGAACACATAAGGAAAAGGAGCCATAAAATAAAACACAATTCTACACTAAGCCACATTTAAGGCATCATATTGACCATGAGTCTGAATTTCTTTAATCAATATGTTTTCCTACTACATAAAAAGTCTATCTCTTCTTTAAATTCAACTATTGAGGGTCGTCTGCCGCTCCACAAGATAACTAACTCCATGTGGGCAGGTCCATAATGTGTCTTGGTCTCTGCTGTATCCCTAGCTCCTTATGGAGTGTATGGCACTCTTCGTAAGTTAACTAATTGAATGACTCTCCTAACTAAGCGTCTTTGATTGCTAACAGATATTTTACGCACAGAAGGAAGTTAGCATCAATGGTGCAAAATGAGACAACAAAGACAAATTAAAAATTTTCCTCTTACCTTATCTTTACCTCTTTGAGATATGTGAATTTGAGGGCACTTTTTAGGTCCTGATGAAATATCCAGCCAGTTTTCTGAGTTCTCTGAATGTACACAATCATCTTTAAAAGTACACCTATTAAAAAAAAAAAAAAAGGACAACAAAACAGCAACCCCGCACATGCATTAGTTTAAACTTTCACATACTGGCTTCGGTACAAAATACCAGACTTTGTACAGGGGGTTATTGACTTTGAGCAAGAATAGGAAGGAGATGCTAAAACCACGAAAAGTAACAGGAAAACAGCAGAGCGTTTTTTCCATCATGTCTCAGGGCAGAGAGTCATCTCTCAAGACGACATCTCCAAATACACCAAAAGCACATCCTCTCATGGATTCTGAAATTAAAGTGCTCCCTTCTAGAAAAACCTAGCAAAGAATAGCCCAAGAAAGGGTTTATATATTGTATACATCTTAGGTTTGCAATTCACTCCCAGAACACTAACCTATTGTAACTTTTCTGTAGTTAAAAACAAAAAGCTATTTTGTGCTTTGCAGTATGATAATCAAATAAAAATGTATTAAGGGCAGAGTCTTCCCAAGAATTTGATAAGATATTCTGTAACTATGTGCTCATTTATTCAGATACACCAAAGTATATCAAAAGATATGGGGGAAACACCTTCCAGGGCCATTTTCGCAAGTCGGCCAGCTCAGAGGATGCCCCAAATAAATCAGGCTGTGGCCAGGGCCAACTACTTCGATAAACATCATCAGAAGCGGAGTGGCAAGACCACTTGGTTTGCTTGGTGTCTCGGTCACTCTAAGTCATGCTAACTTGGCAACTCTTGCTTCACCGGAAGGGCTGCCAACCCGATAAAAAGAACGAACATCAAGTGCCGTGTTATTTTCAAATGATGTTGGACTCCACAGACATTTCATTGAATAACGTCAAGTTAAAAGCAAAACATGTCTGTTATTTATGCTTCCTTGAGGCCTATGGTTAAAATGAAGGGGTCGGAAAGAACCACTGACATTGAGTTTTAAAAGAAACTGAAAATTCATGAATCATAAGATTGAAAAGCAACTAAATCATAACTCCATTCTGCTGTGGGGAGTCCCTGAGAGGATCTGAGTAAATGAGATATGGGCCCAAATAGTGCATTTGACATGCATTGACATTTTACAAGTGTTTCTTTCTTCTTCCTCCTTTCTCTCTATCTCTCTCTTTTTAAATTCTTAAGAATTTAGGCTGCATGGCTTGTCTTTGACTCTGTGCTAATTTGAATATGACAAAAATAGAACAGGAAGCCAGTAACTTTCATTAAACATCATCCACCAGCACAATATTCTTACTATGTACTATGTACATATTATTCATATGTACAATATTCTTACATCGTACTATGACATTTAGGGGAACCCTGCTTACAGTGAGCATGTCTGTGTCTGAAATCACCTACATCTGTGTTAATTCCTTCTCCAACATCATGACCATGGGGATTTCATCAGCAATTCTCCCAAAGCCATAAGTTTATCTGACCCTTGATGGCTAGCTTGTCTGTCATGGACATTAAATTCAAATTAAACCACCTTTCAATGTCAGGGGGAGTTTGCAAAGGAGGGACAAATACCACTGGACTGGAAAACAGAGAATGAGGCTGGTTTCTTATTTTGTCATTGAAAGAGATTATGACTGTCAAAAACTACCTGCCAGTCATGTGCACTCTGGTTTGTATAAGGCACTTCCTCTGCCTAGGAGGAAAAAGAACACCAGCTCTACAGGGATTGGAGCACAAATATTTTTGTAGGCTCTTAATGCTGCCTGGGAGTCACGGCCTATGGCTGTCAAAAAAACAAGTGTAAAATATTTCAGACAAATAGTGCTACCATTTGCCAATTTGTAGGCAGACACCAGTAGCACCACTGAGTTATCACTCCCTTTTCTGAACTCCTATAGCATTTCTTGTCGGATCCACACATTTTGGTATTTAATCATATGCTGCCTTGAATTACAACTTAACTGTTTCATATGTCTATGTCATTTCTCCCCAAGTAAGCCCTGAGCTCCTTAAAGGAAAAGAGAATGTCTTTAATGTTTCTTCAGCAAATCCTTCAGTGTCTGGCAGCATGATATGCAAATACTAGGGTTTCAATAAATATGTTTGAGCGAATGAATGAAATATGAAATCTCTATAGGTCCTTTCTATTGGCGATTTTTGTTTCTAGAGTTCCCTCATGATTTATTTCTGATTCCTACTTACAGTAATGAGACTATTTTTTTAAGGCTATTTTTAATGTACGTTAGAAATTCACATCTGGGGCCAGAGAAGGAACAAATTAGGAGTGGAAGTTTTTAGTTTATCTTCTGCAAATATATATATCTATGGATATATATATATTTCTATCTATAGATATATATATATATATATACACACACACACACAAATATATATACACATATACTAGTATATAAAATAAGGTTTCATTTCCTACTTTGTGTAAGGTAAAAATAAAATCTAACCACGTTAAGCAACTAAACATGAATTTCTTATTTACAAAGCACCTTTGAAATTTGAAATTTCTAAACTCCCATCCCTTGCTTCTCATCAGTTAAAAATTAAAATTGAAAAAATAAAAAAAACAAACCATGAAACCAAGAATGTATAACCAGATGGTCAACCAGCAACAGTGTCTTATTATTTCTCCAATATTACAAATTACAAAATCTTCATGACAGCACATTACCCACACATTCAAATTTCTTAAGGAGTGGAACAGAGCCCAGAGGTCCCAAGTTTTAGTAAACAAAACCAGTTACTTTGAAATGATCCCTTTTGAAAGCTAACCCTCTGAGTCCTATGTCTGAACAAAAGCAGTGGCCACCCTGGGCAGCTTGGCTCAGGTGGCTGGGGATTGCCATGCAGAGTGAAAGGCTGCCGGTTCTATTCCTGGTCAAGGCACATGCCTGGGTTGCAACCCAGTTGGGCAGTGTACGAGAGGCAACCAATTGATATTTCTCTCATACATCAATGTTTTTCTCCCTCACTTTCTCCCTACCTTCCCCTCTCTCTAAATAAATAAAATCTTTTAAAAATGAAAAAAAAAAGCAATGGTCAAGTACATAAACTTTTAAGCCATTGCCCAAATAAAATTAAAATCACATTGTCAGGCACAAGGTTTGATGTGAGGGATCCTCAATGAGGCACTCCCAGAGAGGTGGGTTTCTTAACTGGCTTCATTTTCTTTGGGCCACAGATAGGACCAAAACTGGATTCAGAATGGGATGAGCGCATTCTGGAGAATATAGCGGAAACAGATTTGCTTTCCTTACCTAACTCTGCTTACTTTGCCTCATCTGCAACTGAGAGTCTATCCAAAAGTACCAAAATCCCCAGTCAGTATTTTACTTTTATTCTCCTTTATCCAGCTACATCTCTTGCTTACATGATAAGGCCAATGTGCAGCACTAGCATATTTGCAAACTTAGAAATAAAACTATGTCAAATGCAAAGAAATGGCTGCCTGAAGGGGAAAAAAAACCCCAATAAGTTAATTTAAAAAAAAACAACACAAAACTTTCCATATGTGAAAAACATTGTATGTAGAAACAATGTAGTGAATGCAACTATTTAAGAAGGCTTGTTCTTATCATTTGCCATAAAATCTGCTGCAGAGCTTAATGTATTCAAAATAAAAGAGTTTGATATTACCACTCAACTATATCAGTGCGTGGACTACCGCTTCCCCCACCCATCAAGTATGTTTAAAACATACCCTTGCCCCAACTCATGAACACGGTGATTCCAGACATTTGTTTCTAAGTTTGCTATGTAGAATTCTGAAACTATTCTTATACTGTGGGTTTGCTTCCTGGGTTTATGGAACTCTGTCTAAACCCTAACGCCCTCTAGTAACTACCCCACCACGCACCTGCATGGAGGGGACACGGCCCCAGGTCAGGTGCTGGTCTGAGTGTTCACAGTTAGCACTTCCCCACTAGCCCACACATAACCTCATTCAACAGGGATGAAACTGAAGCTCAGCGAACTGCAATAACATGCCAAGGTCACCCAGCCACAAGCGACCAAAACCTGGCTTCAGAAGCACACGCTTGGCCACTCCACTGCATGGCCACTTGTGAGCCCTAGCTGCCATTCAATAAGGTGCAGAAGGATAAAGACATTCAGAGTTCCTCTTGGCCTCCTGGGGTCTCAGCAATGGTTGGAGGGGAGGGCTTGGACTTGGCCAGGACCAGGCGACAGAGATGAGGATCCCGGGAGCAGAGAAGAAAGAGGGTGAGGCAGAGTCTCAAGGATGAAAAGGGTAACAAGGGTTTGGAGGGGGCGGGGGGTTCTGAGAGGTCTCAAATTTTCATGGATCACTAGCCCTGAATACAGAATATCCAACTACAGGTAAAAATTCCAGGAGGTCCCCAACTTACAAATCCAATGTGTTTTTAAAAATTTGCTTGCAAACCATCTGTTTGTAATATGGAATACACTTTTCTCCCCATGGAAATAATGTTATAAACAGTGATTAGGTTTCCAGGTTAGTCTACAAAACCTATTTATCCATAATGTTACTTCACTACTATATATTTGCAATAAAAGAGTAGCAGAAAACAATAAGATTGCAGCCATTTGCATTATATAGCAGTTTTTCTTCTTTACTTATTTGTGTTTCAGCTCAGCTGGTAGTCTGGGAAGAGTGCCCAGCTGGATCAACTTTTAAATTTATTATTATAGTATTGTATTTATACAGTATTTCTACTGTTTAATGGGTATGGCTTAAATTATTAATTGTTTTCATGCCAACATAAAGAGCAGGGAGACCCACCTCGGAAAAGGAGCTGAAGTTTCCAGGTAGGTGAAATGCCCATGGGCCAGGTTGGGGGACCTTGAGAATTGACTCTATTAGGCTAGAATCTCTAAGCAAAAATTTACCACTTCCTCAACCTTGAAATAGAAACTCTGAACTCAGAAATGTAACTTCTACTTCTGGCCCCTCGAATTTCATCAGCATCCTCTAATGGAATTGTTGTTCTCCAAGAGCAGACAGTCCCTGAAGGAAACTGATAACTAAATATCAGGTAATTGGCTTAAAGGTGGGGGTTGGTGTGACCTGTTCCAAAGA